TCTGGTGATTTGTAATCCCACAGTGTGACCACTCGCGTTGTGGAGCTTTGACACTGTCTTGTTTTTACAATAATAACCATCCCCAAATCGCTAATTGGGTCATGCGACGAGTGAACTGTCTCTGTCACCAGACACACACACACACACACACACACATGCGCGCCTGATAACGTCCTACAAAGAGTGAAATCGTGAAAAATCAGGCTGCTGTTGCCGCTCTTGAGCACTGTGGCGTTTCCTCTCAGTGCGCTGGAATCACACCCTGCTCAACTGTCACCTGTCAATCAAATACAATTCCGTCTAGCTTCTTTCTGATGCCTACACATCCCAACGTGTTAGAGCCGTGAAAATATACAGGTATCTGCTTAAAGATTCACAAATATGTCCCACCAAGTCTGACCTGCTCTCTCACCAGCTAACCGGCTTCCAAAGTTCAAGTCAATTGAAAAATGTCCTATTTTTAATTACTTTGCAAAAGAAGACATCATGTAATTCAAAAACGGGTAAGGCTGTTCGGAAAGCAACAGAATTCAAATGGGTTGGTTCAGTTTCGTCTTCCTGTGTGAACAATCGTGTCTATTTACTCAGGGGATTACAGTTCGCACTGTGTAAATCCTAGAGGGGTTTTGACAATTAGTCTTGCACACCAAAAGTCATCCATCACCATTTGCTATCTCGTTCTTGTCTGATCTGATTGCTGAAACAGAATTTGTTGTACATGATACATGTCACTAGATTATGTAGGCCTACCAAATACGTTTTTTTTTTTTCGAACACAACTCCTATTGTGTAACTATGTGCATTCCAGTGATTAGATGATGAGGATGATGGCTTTATCAAGGTGATTTTATCCCACTGTCCATCGATATATACCGCGCATCTGATTCTGTTTTCCTATCTCTCCCGTCCAGGCCAAAGGCGTCAATCCTGCGTTGACCTTTACGCGGATGAGAAGGTGAGCTGTTGCATTTCTAATTCTCCTCCAGCCGAGTTTTGCAATTTAGTCCATATCCGAAGTGCAAATACGGCCGCCATATGATCTAAAGCACGAGACTCACCATTCACAAAATCGCGAGTCACAACTGATATTTTTTTTACGCACGTTCAACAGAGCTGCAGAGCGTACTACTTACTTTTTTGTATATTTTTTTTCATTATGAGATCGTTTTGAATTGAATTGTTTTCTAGGACTTTTTTTTTTGCATTGAATGACAAATACTTTCCTAATAATTTTGTTTTAAATTAGCCTCTTAATTACTTAATTTTGATTAAGTTCAAGTACAGTGCACCCTTCCATACTCATGGTTTGGCACAGGCAGAGTCACATAATAGCTGTTTGTTAAATGTATTTTTTTTTTTTTTGTACGTTGTCAACGTTTTTGAAATATGCATTTTTTTGGGGGGGGAGGTGGGCTTTATTCCCACTTTTCAACCGTTATTTGTGGAAAACACATTGAATAGAATATTCCATATGTATTGTCGTGTCTGTATACATGTATGTGCCTTTAAGAGGCGGGGCCTGGTTGGGTATGGCATTTGAGTCTGCTTGTGATTTTCTGGGCGTGAGCTGCGGCCAACTGCAGCTCCTGTGTGAATGTGCTCATTTTGTTTGTGTCGCCTGGTTCTTGTCAGAACGTCCGCCCCAAAGACAGAATTTGTGCCACGTTTGAAAGTAATTCTCGTTCATCTTCCGGTTCACTCCCAGCCTATACGAGATGACGGCTGATCAAGCGGTAGCACTAAGGGCTGCTTCCGAGGCGTGTTGGCATGTTAGCCTCGCACGCCCCAATTAGTGTGACAGCCGCATTTAGCGTGACATTCGACAAGCATGCTTAGATGAGATCAACGGCGGCAATAAGTAAGATTATCACGCAAAAAAAAAAAAAAAAAAAAAACATACTGGATTGGTAATCCTATATGATCCGGATGACGGTATACCCCCCGGCGGATCTGTCGATTGCTACTTCCTCGCTATGCTGTGATTTAGCATTTGGAAGTGAATCATGACCCCCTTCCAAACACCCCTTGGCAACTTTCCGTCATCTATTACAAGGATTCTCCAACTCAAGCAATTTTTCCAAGCGGTCGCTCATAATCCTAGTGCCAAATTAACATAATTACTAAATATGATTTAAAAGATGAAGATAAACTTAAAGTTTAACAAGGCAAGAAATAATAAATAAAACAGCATTATTTTTGTCATATTATGCTTTTTATTCCGGGCGAGGCACCTTTATTGTCAAAATAATTTGGACTATATACTGTACTCAAAAACTATTTGATTGAAAAATCTCTGGTTGCAACACCACCGCCAGGACGCTTGGTTCCGTTACTGTAATGCAGATGAACCAATTGAGTCGTTGCTGAGTAAACAAGACAGTCGTCTTGTGAATTGACCATTTCAATTTCCTCTCCCGTTCCTCTCGCAGCCCAGACGGCTGTTTTCCTCGAAACAGGAGTCACATTCACTATTAATGAGCGAGGATGTTCATCCTGGAACCATTTACTCTTCTCAATAATGGATACTCCATCATAATTGGCCATGCATATTTTTTTTTGCACTGCCACCTCCACCTTGGTGAGGAGGCGGAGTGGGGGGCGTTGTTTTGGTGCCCACCGGGTGCTCTTGGTTGCATTCTCCCAGGAATGGAGAACCCTTAATAAGAGCGCCTGCTGCAGGAAGATAATGAAACGGCAGCCAGCCAACAGTGCTAAAAGGCGCTTTAGAATTAAGTATTTCTATTACGTGGAGGATTCAAATCACCTCTCCGGTTTGTTCTAATAGCTCCGCCGATGTGTTTAAAAACAAAGACGCTGGCGCCGATTGGAGCCATCAGCGCTGTCTGCGATCGTGGTGGTGGCTCGTGTGGCCCCCATCAAGAGACTCATGCCATTAACTTAAAAGTGGCACAAAGAAAATGACAAGTCTATGTCGGCAGAAATTGAATTTAATTGGCGCAACAGTGGCGGTGGGAACGTACTGTCTGATTCAAATTGGACAGTCGGGGATGAGGGTGTTGGATGCGGAAACACTAGAAATACCAGAATACCAACCTTGTTCTAAACCTACTCCGAACGTTACCATTAAAGCCCCGTAAATCGTATTGAAAGATTTGTTTCAAAACACATTATAAATGTTTAAATTGCTGAAAATATGTGCAAAAACCAAAAATGATGTGATGCTTATTGTCATTTTTAGGAGACTTTAAACCTTACCCCAAACTCCCTAACCTAGGTCTAAAAACACGATGAATCTTACAATCCTAAAATGGGGTGAATCCAGCCTTTGAAACACAGCATCAGTGGTCTTCCACTTTAGGCTGTTGTCATGGCAATGGTCACATTATAGTGCGGTCGCGAAGGCCGGCTACTGCTTAGCCAGCTCTGTTGGGCCTCATTGCATTGTTTTTCCTCGCACACAAACTTAGCTATAGGAATTGCATTTCAGTGGTCACCATGGCAACAACCTGCAGCGGCCGCACCACTCATGAGTCAAAAGCACACTTATTAATTTATTAAGTTCTCGCGTTCCGATTATTCATTCATCTCATTCAATAATGTGGTTCTTTTATTATTTATTTAAAGAATACATAAATTTAGTCAATATTTTTATATTGATTTCACTCATCGATTGATGATCAGGCCGATCTGTCAGTTAAAAAATAAAATAAAATCACATGGGCACAATAAAGGCCAGCACTTGCTAGAGACCCTTTCATTCAATCTGCTCTTTGCTAGCCTTCTGTCCAAAATTTGTTACTTAAATAAGGTCGCCCCCCCCTCCTTCACTCCTCCATTTTGGGCGGCTGCCCTGATGCTGAGAAGCCTGAGGATGCAAAAGAAGGATGTGAAAAGATGCTCCTCCTCCTATTTCACATTCCGTCTCATTCCCCGGTGGCCTCTTTTTCCAAGCTCCCCTCCTCCTCCTCCTCCTTCTCTTCACCCCCGCTGTATTTGTTTCGCAAAACCCTCCCATCTTTTCCTCGCTCATCCCCCCTGCATGTATTATTTAACGGCACCTCTGGCTTTCTATCAGCAAAGAATGAACCGAGGCTCCGGCCAGGCTCCTTAGCATTTTAATCAGCCCTAATGAGCTCCTGATGCTGAATAAACATGGTAGCAACCAGCTGGCGCGGATGAAAGTGATGCTTTGTCGTACATGCGAGGCACCCCCAGCCCGCGCACCATGAACGACTGTATGTATTATAGCCCCCCGAGACACCCTGCTGTGAGAGGCAGAGCACATGTAAGAATCAATCAGACAGCATCCGGCGACCAAAATATACAAGAGATGAGCTCATGTTCATGTTGTGTCGCGGCTGCCGTCTCGGATCAATGTTAGATAAGTCCCGCACAGATATGCTTGGCTACCGTGAGTGATACAGTCAACTTTGGAAGAGTAAACCAGCCTAAACCGAAACTAAAACCTAATCCAAACCTGTCTTAACACAAAGGCCCTCTCAACAACTACATTTCGGTGACCTGTGTTGCAATGTCACAGATGTAAAAGCCATATGATTTACATTATTCCCCATGAGAAGTACTGTTTCAGTTAGATTTTCTTGAACGGATTAATAATGAAAACCGAGGTTCCTCTGTATTTATTATTTCCTATATACCTGTGGCTCAGAAGCAAGGGTCACACCAAAAAATACTGTAGTATAAGTATACTGAAGGTGGAGCCTCGAAACCCCATACAGGGTCGCAGTTTTTCCATCGCACCACATTGACGGAGGTGCGGTGCTCAATCGCTTGGTGGGAAGAGTCTCCAACTGTAATTCTCTTTCTCGATGGTCACGTCTTGCCACGTTTTTTTTTTTTTTCTCACAACGCATGTCATCACAAAGCACTGAGTCACGTCATTAGCATGAATTGAATTGTTGGCACGCTGACATGATGTCACGCTACTTACGCAACAGACGCAGCCGTCCTGCCAACACCCCCCACGGTCCAAACCCGAGCCGGATTGCCATTGACAGCGGAAAACTGCTCCAGGAAAGCAACTTTTAACTTTTTTTTTTAATAGCAACACACACATACTGCACTATTGGACATCTCAAGTGAAATTTCCCTTGTATCACTGCTTTATTTATATTGTTAAACATCAAACAAAAACAACGGCAAAATCAAGAGCTGACACCCCCTCCCAGTACCTAATTGTGCTCATTCCTCTTACAAGTTAATTTACATCAGCGTGATAATACCTTAAGAGACCGGGGGCAGCATGGAAATGTCTTCATTTGTCTGAATCTCATCCCCGCGTAACGTAACCATGCCCGTCGGGTCTTGACGTACTTATGTGATAAAAGTGATCCGATCAATTCAAACCAGAGGGCAGTATCAGGCTGAGTCAACTGATGCCATCGCCCCAAAAAAAAAATGCTGCATTGTGCTCCGTCTGGCATGTAAAAGCACATTCATTATCTCCACACACAGGAAAAAAAAAGGTCATTCAGAGGCGAGTCCTCGTCTGTCTTTATCGTGCAGTGTCTGGGTTACCGCATTCGGAATGACAATAAGAGTCGCCAAATGGAAAGCCGTATGGGAATTTATTCTGTATCCTTGCTATCTGTCTTCAGGTCCATGTATTAGTACGCTCGAGTAAGACAAATCAGCACATTAGTAGAACAACTGCCTCCTACTAGTAACGTGTGCATGACACATGCCTACAAGTTGGCCCCAGTAGTGCCACTGCTGCAGCGCAGTTGTTTACCACAAAAGATTCAATTACTTTCGAGAATGCCAAAAGTGGCACTAGTGGTGGAAAAACATTTCCAATACAGTAAGACACAGTGGTTGTGCTAGTGCATCCTAGTCGTCTGCTTGTGCACACTAGTCCTCTGTTAGTGCGCTGAATTGTCATACTAGCAAGGAGACAAAAATCATACTAGTCATGAACCTTGTGCTGGCTATCAAGGATATGGAATAACTTTTCAAACGGCTTTATACAAATCCGTTTGAGCATTTATTCGCTATCCTTGCATTACAAGTAAGACATGGTCATTCTACTAGTGCGTGTAATGGTCTTCATAGTGAGGACAAAACTATACTAGTCATAGATCTTAAGCTTATAGCAAGGGCATTGGGGCTTTATGGAAATGCTGATTTAGCATTTATTCAATATCCTTGTGCTAGTAGCACTAGTGCGCCCCATTTGTTCTACTAGTGCGCTGAATTGTCTTTGTAAGAGGACGAAGACCGTACTCTCATGTACCTCAAGACTGATATGAAGGAGATGGAATAAATTCTCAGACAGCTTTATAGAAGCCATTTGAGCATTTATTTGATGTCCTTGCAAACAGCTTCCCAGAGTCGCCTTGAGATATACGCCTTGGAAAACCTTTGTACAGGAGCTTGTTTTATACTATACATGTTGTGCTTCTCATGGTCCACTTGTGAAGAAAACATCGATTGGTTACAGCGTATAAACCAAAGGAGGGTCCGTACGCCCGCTCATATTTCCATTTGATTTGCGTGGAGGTCCTTCAAGGCCCCAACCCTCCCTCTCCTCCAAACGGCCGGACGCTAACGCCACCGACAGGGCAAGGCGGTTCTCCTTCAAGCAGGCCACCATCCAATTCAGGAAAAATCCGTCGGTAAACTCCGAATCATAAGGTGCTCTCCAGGAGCCACTCGGAGCGGGACAGCTTGTCGCGGGCCCGTTGAATGTTTGCGGTGTTGTGCATCTGCGGTAGCTCGCCACTCATGGACAGGCTTCGCTTGGAGCGCAGGCTGGTCCCCGTTTTGGCGTAGCCCACGTATAAGCGCTCCCGGCACGAATCCGCGTTGAGGGAGTGTCTGCGGTTGAATCTGGCGGCCCCCGCGGGCACGGTCATGTACTGCCGAGGGGCCTGGCGTGCTCGCGGCACCCTGGGAGCTGCAGTCCATTTGGGAGCTTGGGCACGGGATGCCACAGGTGGCACCTTCACCTCTGAGGAGTTATTGCGATTGACGTTGTTGAGTTCGACGTCCTCTTGCATCTCGGCCCGCCGGACGTCGGACGGTTTAGACAGGGCCATCGGGCGCCTCACCCTTGGGGAGGCCGGGTGCCAACTGTGGCTGGCGGCCGAGGTCGACACAGTGCAGTCGGGCAGTGAGGGTTTGGCGGTGCCGGTGTTGGCGGCGGTGATTACGACGGGCACTCGCTGCTTGGCCGGCTCCAGGGGCGGGAGGGCGACTCGAAGGCAGTCCTTGTCATTCTTCTCCGGACGTAGGACCTGCTTGGACAGAGACTTGGGGAGTCCACAGCCTTGAAGTTGCCCATCGCTGCTCAGGGAACGAATGTCGCCCATTTCCAGAGTCTGTTGGAAAAAAGGTTCAATGTCTTTGTACATGGTTTTATGTTCACTCTGTTGCTTTTAGAGAAATGGCACTGCCACATCGATGTTAATTAGCCTTAGCATTAAGGTAGGAACTGAAAGACTCAGCTATGTGGTTGTTTTAAATACACAAACTCTCATTCTCTTGAGGTTTTTTTTTTTATGCTTAGATTGACAGTAAATTTAAACTAACATCTTTTTTTTTTAAAAAGCATTTACTATTTCTATTGTGACAGTGGCCCTACTGAAAGGTGGATTATGTTCCCACCGAAGGCCGAGGTACAAAATACATTGCCCGCTACTGCGCTAGACTAACCTTATCTGCGTCTCCCTGGTTGCACACTCTGTAGCGGACAATGAGGAAGACGATAAACGCCAGCACTGAGGCCACGATAATCCCTCCAATGATGACCACGATGGTCCCACCCAGGAACTGGGACTGCATGAAATGGCACCTCAGGTACTGCGGATCGGTGGTGAAGTGGATGCAGCCGATGACCCGTGTGGCGGTCAGTGAAGTGACCTGGTCGTCGTAGATGGCCAGCACGCACAGGTCATATTGCGTCCCTGCCGCCAGGTTGTTGACCAGGATGCTTTCACTGGTGGGCGGGATCATTCTGGGAAGATGCGGACGGGACACGGTACGGCATGCGGCCAACATACATTTACTGTATCCTTTATCTTATTCGTGCGTGTGGGTGTTTGTTTATATCAATTGAGAAATTACATCATGCAGAAATTCAGCATTCTGTACATGTCAACGGGTTATTTTGCTAGTATTTACTTATCTGGTAATGACCTCTGCCATCTGTCCAGTTTCAAAATTAAACGCCAATCAAATTTGCCCACCCCTGGATTAGCGCTTCATCAGATTATGCGGTTGATTGTTTGGATGCTGACATCCGGCCATCCGAGACATGCCTGCCTTTCATCGTTGGTGACATTTGATTCATTCTAGGCAGCGTCTTTTGTGATGAAATGTTCAGTATTCATGCTATCTTTTTCCTGCACCAAACACCAAAAACACGCTTTTGACTGCATCATTTTTGTCCCAGTCCGTCCCATCATGTCCTTGGAATGATGAGCATCTAAGTAGAGAATAAAATAGATGAAAGACGCATGGGATGCTTTTTTTTTTTTCTTCAAAACGCCGGCTGGGCTGACGCTGCTTTCATCTTCATCTTAGTGCTGACATTTGTTATTTTTGATTTTGTTGATTAAGCATTATCGCGGCGGTAAATGGTACACTCCGGCAAAAGGGGATTAGGAGTTGAAGAAGGAGAAGTGGGATGCGGTGCATTAGGACTCCTGATTGGATTAATGGACACCGCAAATAATCACAAAGACAGTCCAGTCCCTGCCGGGGGGGACCGAATTTCCTGAGGGATTCGGTGTCCTGAGTTGGTAAAACAAGCAGTGTAACACTCTTGGTCGTGGCTGAGGTCATTTTATATTTAGCAAGTTTGTAATTTTACAATGTTTCTTTCTGTAAAAGTAGCTTTTTCCCCCCTCTTGAAATTCAGATTGTTTTTCTCATTTTCTTGCAATGTTCCTAAAAAGGAATATTTTATCTTTATTTTCATTTAATATTTCAGTAGTTTTCTGGTCTACTTTTTTTCTCATTCAGATTTTGTATCATACAAATTCTTTCTTTCAGGCAAGTGTACCACTACAGCAGCAGACATGCTCACTACTAGACCGCTGTGTTGACCCTGGTTTTGAAATGTCTACCCTTAATCTTCACCTGTACACCAGCGAGTCATCGTAGGTCCCGTTGTATTGGATCTGGAACATACGGATGCCCGGAATGTTCCTTTGGAAGTTGAAGTGGACCACAGCCGAGGTTGACGTGGCCTCGGCTATGACCACCTTCTTCTCCAGGCCCGTCTTGGTGTTACCGAGGGGCACACCGCCGCCCGGACCCTCCGCCCCCGTCTTGGTCACAGTGGCGATGTCCGAAGACCCCGGGTCGGGCTCTTGCTCGACGGCTGTGTTGTTGGTGATGTGAGGCAGCTTAGCGATGACCAGGTCGACCTTCTGCTGGGCTTCTCCGGCCGGGTTGGAGGCCACGCAGGTGAAAGAACCTAGAGATAGGTCATATCATTTGATGAGTGCACTTGTTTTGTTTTTTTGTTGCTTTTTTTTCCCCCCTCACAATCTACAAGTTTTTTTAAATTTTAATTTGCAAAAAATTCCTTTACATGAATGTATCTATTGTTGATTAATTGTATTTATTGATAACTGGATGATTAGATATTGTAAAATATTTAAAAATTGCAAATGCTACACATGATTTAAAATTCACGTAATATAATTATATAACACTTATTCTGGCTGCATTTATTTTTTTGGTTAGAAATCCTTCAAGTAACGGATTAATTTTTCTACTGTAAAAATAATTTTGTAGGGTTAACATTTTTTGAATTTTTTTAATAAATACAGTTGCTGGTTAATATTTCAAAACCACAATAACTCTTTACTTCATGATCAGAATAATAATTTTCTTACATCCACATTTAACCCTGATTCCCATCCACAAATGACCCGGCCTGTCTGTCCATTTTGAAAATGTGAGCACAAACGTTTTCCCGCCACTGTTGCAAACCTAAGGATAGGCATGTATTTCAAACAACACCGTTTAGGTCAATTACGCCTACAGTTAAACCTATTTACAGTAAGCTTCATTTAGCACAAACACAGAAAAAGGTTGAGCATTACAAAGGTAATAAAAAGCCGAGCAGCACTTGTTAAGCGGACTATTTAATGGTGCTACATCTCAAACGCTAAGTGTAAGAACACTGAGGACCAAGTACATATATATTTTTAGCCTGTCTTCTTTAATGCGTGTTTACACTTTTTTCCGACTGAATAAACAAAACAAGGCACCGCGTGTGACTTTCACAGGTAGGTTGACGAAATCTTTTGCCAGTTACTTTTTCTCATCCAGCTCGAAATATCCCAAAATATCCACAGGTCGTTAAAATTTGTTTTAAATCGACAAAGATATGATGTGTTGCTCAGTTTCCCGGGTGTATTTACATGTTAACTGTTCTTTTCTGGCGCACTAACAAAGAGGTAGAACTGTAGCCTGCCTGTGGAGCTACTCCAAATGAAAGAAACATTTGTTTTATCATCCAATTCCAAATATTGAAAGCCGCTTAAACACCCTTCAAGCGGTTTTACCACTTAAACAACCAAGGTTCCACGTGTTTATGAGTATATTATTCTTGCCCACAAGCTGGAAAGGAACCAAAACGTAGCCTATGACGTGATTTGGAAGGGAATTAAAAAAAAAAATCCATCAAAATCTTGACATTAGTCTTCAAATGTGTTTTACCACATGAACAATTAAGATGTCTTTTTTTTCCAACAGGTGTACTATTCTTGTCTGGAATGATAGCAAGGAAGCTATAAGGTAGGTAACCTGTGGCAAACTGTGGTTTCACGTTTAGTCGGGAAAAGAAATGTTCTTTTTGTCATCCAACTCAAAATATTTTAAAATATCCATGAAGCTAGATCTGTTTTTAACCACACAAAACAACAGTATGAGCATCAGCACAAAAAATTTACTTATTATTATTCTTGGGTTATCTCTTTTGACTTTCCAAATCTTGTACATTTACTGACTGCATTCAATGATAAACTATACAGAAATCTAGCAGTTTCGCACACCTCTAAAGCCTTATTTAGCCAAACATATGTATATCCAATCATGAAAAAAAAATATTAGGCCATCTGTGTTGAGTGTGTGCCTCTAAGGGGCGTGGCCGAGTGAGTTTGGACCTGGAGTTGGAATAGATTAGTTGTTTGGGTTAATCTGCGTGTGAGCATCTTGGCGTAAATTGTGGCCTATAGCAGCTCCGTGCGAGTGTTCAGTCGTATATTTATTTGAGTCTTGTAACTTAATGATCTAACCTGGTGGACACTCCAAACCAACCTGAGTCCTTGACGGTGCTGATGTGGATGTCTAGCGTGCCATCGCTGTGCACGGAGGCTCTGGAAGAGTTTGACATGAGGCGTCCGTCAGGGGCTATCCAGTGGATGATGGGGTCCGGGTCCCCCCGAGCCTTACAACGTAGTGTCACGCTCTGACCCTCCAGGGCCCGCAGCTCCTGCAACAACAACACCGGACTGATATGTTGACCAGGTTCGGGCTTTTACAGCTCTGCTCCCTGTGAATGTAATCGACTATTGATCATAGTTGCCACGTTGAATTAGCGCAGCGGCGAGACTGTCGATACAGCGGCAAACATGCGGGAACGATAAAAACATTCACAGTGATTGAAAAGAGGTGAGATACGGCTGTCCTTTGCGCCACGCCGCCTCGATTGGATCGTTTTATTTTTTTCTAGACCTCATCGCTCGAATGGCATATGTATCACGCTCTGCAAATAGCTTACTAGTTGGAAAAGTCTGCCAAGTGTGAGGCCACAGCGAAATAATTGAGAGGGCGTTTTTTTTGGGGGGGGGGGTCACACCTGAGAGTGTCTAGTGATGAGAGGAGGCTCGCACAGGAACTCTTCTTCCGACACAGTCCAGAAATAGCGTCCGGCGAGGTGTTGAGGCGAGGCGCAGGTCTCCAGATCGTCCTCGCGCCGCAACCTCCGCAGCCAGAGGAGCTCGCAATTGCACCGCAGCGGGTTCCCGCCAAAGCTCAATGCGAACGAAGTGGGCCCCATGATCCCCGAGGTGGCTAGGACCCCAGCTCTTTGAAAAACAGAAGCGATGAGGGACTTCAGTTACATGGCTGGACTCAAGTAAGACTTAAGTCGCTTTTAGGACTTGGGACTTTCTTGGCTAAAACTTGTGCAAGACTTGACCGGATTTGGCTTTGGATTCATGAGATTCAACTTGACTTGGGTTTGATATATGATGTGAAAAACGGTGACTTAGGACTTGCTTGACACTTGAAGGTTAAGACTTCAGACGTATGACATTCACTCACCTCTGGAAAATAGGGTCCGGGGGCAGCTTCTGGAGCTTATTGGAGGTCACGTCCAGCCTCTTAAGCTTCTGTAGACCCGAGAAGGTGCCCTCTGGGATGTAGCTGAGCATGTTGTGGTCCAGGTTGAGGGTGTGGAGGCTGGACATTCTCTGAATGGCCACCCAGGGCACGCTCTCCAGGTTGTTGTAGGACAGGTCCAGCTCCTCCAGGGCCGTCAGGTCATTGAAGGCGCCGATCTGAACGTGCGTGAGCTGGTTGTTGTTCAGGATGAGGTGGTGCAGCTTCGACATGCCGCTGAAGGTGTCGTTGGTGATGCGCGTCAGCCGGTTGCTGTCCAAGTGGAGCGCCCGCAGGTTCTCCAGGTCCTTAAAGGCATGTGGCACGATGGTCCCGATGGTATTGCGGGAAAGCGTCAGGTCCACCAGCTTGGTCATGTTGGCAAAGTCCTTGCGCTTGATGCTGGTGACGAAGTTGTCCCCCAGGCGCATTTCCACCGTGTGCCGGTCGATATTGGGGGGCACGAAGAGCAGCCCCTTTTTATCGCACAGTGTGGCCAAATTGGGGTTGAGCACCTGGCAAATGCAACGCTTGGGGCAGACTTGAACCTTGTGGGCCTTTACAGTCACACAGAGGACCATCAGATAAAGCAGCAGGGCCTCCATTGGACTTGTCATTCACCTGGTTACACCTGCAAAGATAAGGTAGAGAGAAACGCCGATAGAAGGGAAATGGTTTATCGAGCAGAGACTGCGCAGCGCTGTCATCGCTATTAAACATTCATTTGTCTTGCTGGGGGAATTCGCTCCCTTCAAGACAGGGATGCTTTTGAGCCTGAAGCGCTTTACAACTAGGTTGTAAATAGAATCATTGGCTCAGCACTCTGTCCAAATTGTAAGCAGGGGGTCAACAAACGATGAATGCCGTGCAAATTAGACGTGGAACTAATTAGTCACCTGCAGACTTCAGAGGCCCGCGTGACGGTTTTGTGTTGTGTGTTTTTTGGAGTCGTTTAGCGCATTTTTTTTTTTACCTTTATGCTACCCAGTAGTTAGTTGCATGTTTGCCAATATGTACAAGCAACATTCTAATAGTTGCTCCATTAAATTGTATTAATTGATTCCCAAGAGTCTGTTATCTTTATTTTGTAGCGTTTCACTTGGCGGTTACTGCTTCCAGTCCATGTCTCCAGTACATTTCATTCCGAAAAAAAAGATTGCGTTGACAGGCATTTTGAAAGGGGCTTATGTCTCGAAGTCAACTTGGGAAACGCCAATTCCGCCTTTCTGATTTGCTAATGCCGCCGCTTTTATGTTTGCGTACACAGGGATGAAAGTCTGAAGTGTCCATCCGAGGCCCTGATCAGAATTAGATGCTTATCTCCCAGGATCATGTGGCCAAAAGGATTGGGATCATTGGGTCCAGTGGCTCTGCAACGATGCGCTATGCCTTGCCATTGATTTTTCTTTTTCTCTCGACTCTTATTTATGACTCAGTTGAGAGATGGAGGATAACGAGAGATGCATTTGATGAATCCCCCGGCCTTGTCACAGGAGATGGAGAGTAAAGTGGAAATCTTATAGCGACTGTCAAGAATTGGAATTTTGAGTCATTTTTCTGTCTTGTATTCCGCCAAAGTGAAAACCAATCCAATCAAATGCTGACAACAAGCGATCCCCAGTCCCATAACCGCAGTAAAAAAATCTACCGGCTAACCTTTAAATACAGATGAGAAAGGTCAGGTTTATGGTTATGGCTGGGTGGTTTACTCGTAATGCCTCCGTTGTCAGCACTGCGTCCTGCCAGCGTGGATAAAAGTCTGGCCTCAGCACGGAGCCCCTCCAAATGAATCCTGCCGTGATTGCGGAAGCCAACATGTGTCGAATAATCTCGATAGTCGGCGAAGGAAGGAAACATCAGACAGCGCGGTGACGTTTCGGGAGGGGTCAACGGCGACGGTTATGCTTTGACAGGCGCGGAAAATGTGGGACAGAAGGAGGTCAGGTTTGAAATGCGCCATGAAGATGATGATCAGGAAGAAATGATATTGTCGCAGTGAGCCTGCTGGGTATGACATATCTTATGAGTACTGCTGATCAAGATGCAGCGAGCAGACACCCTCACAGAGTCCCACACAGAATTAATCATGACGTGCGAATGTTGAGACATGCTGTCATGGAGCCGAAAAGAGAAAGCTAGAAATGTCTTTGAGTTAGTGTTTCCAGAAATCGCAACGCGGTTTACTATCCGTTCATTTATTTGTCTTTGGATCATAACAGCCGCACTCTGTCTTAAGTAGAACCATTGTCGAGACCCTAAGTAGACTCTCATAAAAGTCGAAGTACAGCGTCTACTCCTTTACTTTAGGTCCTTGTAAAGTGGAAATACTGTAAATGTCTTCTGAATTTTTCAAGTGTACAAAATGAGGCCTCAAGATCGTGAAAAATCAAGCTGTTCCCTCTCCTCTCAGACTCAGTGGGCATGTTCGCCGAATGCGCTGAAACTACTGACCGCTTAATTGCCAACTGTCAATCAAAAAGCACTTCTACAGCATTGGAAAAATATCTACACAAGACTACATGTTGTACCCACAAAAATATGTACGCTAAAACTCTCCGGTGGTTGGAATATATGCCACTTGATGGATGCACAGGGCTTTTCCACACTGTGACAACGAGGCACTCCAAAGCAGCCACCTCAGCCAGATACTCGTGTCCAAGCAGTCGTGTTGGAGGTTTTTATCCTTCTCTCCACAACATGTGTGCACTCACAGCTGACAACAAGGCAGTCTAAATTGGCCACGTCAGCAAACTATCCAAAGGGAAGATAATTCTCAGGGTGTAGGCATAGCTCACCAGTTAACTCGGAGGTATCGAAGTTGACTGTTTAGGTTCACCTCAAGGAGAATTTGAGGTCTGTGTATTAATTTGAATAAGGCCCTGATGTGGAAAGCTTTATGGTGATATGGATCTAAGGTGTTTATGAACTTGTTAATCAAGCGCTAAAGATTACACCGACAATGATGAGATATACGGGGTGCCCTTTTTAACGAGGATATGAGGTGTATATGTTCTCGTTAATGTGAAGGTAAAACTAACGCTGATGAGGTGTGTATGTTGTTTTTAACGAAGATCCGAGATGGATGTGTTCATGCTGATGAGGCTCCGAGGTGCAGTTCCACATTGTGAACTGCTCTGAGGCTGACTGACAGGACCTCTGTTGATGGGCAACGAGGCAGAAACAACCTGCAACTTCCATGCTCAAATTGCGCTCAAGATGTGAAATTGATTTACTGTGGAGAGATTGAGCCTTCCTTTCTCTCTCTCTCTCTCTCTCTCTCTCTCTCTCTCTCTTGCTCTCTCGCTACACCTTCCTGTGGAAAACTTAGCTGAACGTGACGTGAATAGTTACCACTAATCCCCAGCGAAACAGGACAGGCGATATCCACCACCGTATCCACTAATTTGCATTTAATTACCGGCGCTCCGCTGGGATTTGCATAACAGGTTGCTCTCATCAGGTACACCAACAAATAAGCAGATAATCAATCAACGTGCTCATCAATCACGCTCTTCCTCTTTGAAATGTCACACTGCCAACGTTAAGTCATTATCCTGCACATTGGGTGCGCTCATTTCTCTCTGGATAAGCTTTTGGCGGGGGGGGGAATAAACTGCGCACTGACGTCATCTCCTGCCCAGTCAATCACATGTTGCTTTACTACCTCCCAGATTGTTTTTGCGCCCCCGGAGTACACAACAGACTGACAGCGCACGCCCACACGTGCACTCCGGTGGGTGGATCGCTGCTTAATAGAGGCAGCTCGCCACACATTGCACCCCCGCCCCACCAATCTATGGAAACAGGCGACTGCAGCAGAGCTGCGCTCTACAGTCGCGGAGGATATCGATGCTTGACTCGCCTTGCGACTGTTTTGCACAGGGGAAATGTTTTCCGATGCCTCGGCAAGCCCACATCCAATCAGGGAATCATGGGAAGGTCAAGCAAGGCAAATGAGATTGCCCAAAGGAAGCTAAAACCAGGCCTACACAAATGTTGAATCTGTTCAATATTTCCAATCGCAACCGCACATCGCTGGAAGAATGACTCAGGATAATCTTTTCGAGATTTTTTTTATCGCTATGTTTATACCTCACTGAATACATTTTATCATAATCTAATAATCTTTTAAAGACATCCGATAATCTGTCTTTAGATGACTTTGATTAGACTGGAGAGAAAATACTCAGATTTGGAACAATTATCAATATGTGTGTACCCCAACACAACAGGGGGATCACTCAGGATAATCCTTTAGAGACATTTGATAATCCGGCTTTTGCTGACTCGGAAATGCTCACATTTGGCCTTATTGTCTCCGTGTGTATCCCACTTGAGCAAAACGAAACAAGATGCAATGTGGCTGGAAAATGGCTGCAGCAAAGCAGTTTATGAAAGTGACCCACCATGGATGCCGCAACGTCTGCCTCACTAGCGCTTCTGTATGCGCTGTGACGCTCCTCTGAACGTGATAACTCTTTGGTGACAGCGGCGACGCCATGGCAACACAGAAAAAAACGTCACACTGAGGGCAGCGTGAAGGGGGAGGTGAGATGCAATCAGGGGAGTGGGGGGGGCTCATTTTCAAGATCACCTAACGACATTTAGAACAAAGAATCCCCAAAGGAGAGAGAGCACCCGGACAATTTAGTCACGGATAACAAATGAGGTTCTGCTTTAAAGCCCCCGAAAATTGTCAGGGTGCTATTACTTGCTAATGGTGAGAGACAGCCATTGACACTAATGCTACTGATGCTCCCACTGCATCAATTTCTGATTGTTAGCTGGCCAAGCCTGCAGGTATTATTTTGAACGCCTTTGGCAGGATTAGCCCACAAAAAAAAAAAAAAAGACAAAGAAAGAAACACAAAAGCAACTGAGCAAACCATAACACATTACCCTGGAAATGTCTAAACTGTTGGCACATTTGCCAAGGAGGAATGTATTCAAATTATGCATATCTGAATAAAGACAGTGATGCCTTGAAACATGCGTTCCATGACCACATGTGTATCTCAAGTCGTCTTTCCCCATTGAAATAAATGTAAATGCAACAAATCCATTCCAGCCCCCCTAAACAACCCCCACAAAATTCATTTTAACTTCTTTTTTCTTCAAAAATGAGATCAGCTTTATTGTTATTACACCACAGGGTGCAACGAAATGGAATAGACTGCACGCACTCTGTGGCCACACACACGCAAACTTTTCAAAGTGACACATTTTTGTAAAAAACAACAGAGAAAAGAATCGCAATCAGGAATCTGCCTGGTGAGCCTGTTGTGCTGTTTCATGAGTGTAGACACAGAAAATTAATTTAACACAATTTCCCGTGGCAGAATTGGCCATAATTTGGGTTATTTTATTATTTAGATTTATTGTGTTGTTATCTCAGTTAAAGTGATATTGTCGGCCATGAAATTGCACATTACCATTTTATATTTTTGGGCTAGCTGACATTCATGCTTTGATTAAAAATCCTAAATTAGGTACATGCTTCAGTATTTGTTTCACAAAAAAAATGACTTGCTCCTACTTATTTTTACAGGGCTACTTTTTACTCGTACTTGAGTCATCTTATTCAAAAGTGACAAAAGTTACTCGAGTACAATCTGCGGCTACTTTACCCATCTCTGATTGCAGTGATATGCTGCTTTGCCACACAATACTCTTGGTATAGATTTTTTTTTCTCTGTTTTTCAGGCGGGGGGCGGCATCTCAAATGCAATTTCAGAGGCAACTGCAATTTCTCTGCTTGGACTGGATGTCAAGATCTCAACCCGTGTGGGTTTGCGTGTGTGTGTGCATCACACTAAGACGACCCTGTTGAATCAAGAGAAGTACTGTTCATCAGCATCTACAAGTCTCCCCTGCCATTTTGCAAGTGTTTTCCTTCGCGCGGCATCAGAGCGGGAAGCAAAAGTCAGGATAGGATGGTGAGGAGCAAACCGACACACAACCTTCCTCATATTTTCCGACGTCTAGCTGTCTAGAACAGGCAGGAGATGCAGCTCAAATACTCATCAGCATTCTGCCGCCGCTCTTGTGCAATCGCACCCCTGATGTGAGGGGAGGGGGCTTATGACCTGGGATTTTCTCTCACAGAAACCTTGGAAAGCACTGTGGAATATCAATATGAGATGTGCGTTCTCATCCGTCCGTTTAATTCCTTGCCGGCGCGCTACACGGACGATTTTATGTAGAGAAGGAGTGTAAGAAAAATAAGTTCAATCCCTTCCCACGTTGCATGCAGACAAAACCCCCTGCACAACCCACTTTGTCGCGTTTTGCGGCGGAATGAGGACGAGCTAAATTGAAAGTGAGCATAACACATTCTTCTTAAAATAGGTTTTTCCAGTTAAGAAAAAATGAACTACAATGGCCACTTGAGAAGTGTTTTTAATCAGGCAAACTAGAACGAATATCGTAATATTGTGCTTAATAAAACGAATTCAACAGAATGCAAAGAATTAAACTGTTTATGCATCATGAATAAGTGCCAACCTTTGCCATCTGGAGGCAGCATAGGACTGCACAGTCACGGAGACACAAACAAAATACAAAGAATAGCACTTGTACAAAGTGTTATACGCCTGTGAGTATAGTGGTGTGCTTGTTTTTCAAAGGAAAAAAGCAAAGTGTTATACGCCTGTGAGTATAGAGTATAGTGGTGTGCTTGTTTTTCAAAGGAAAAAAAAAAATCCGAATGACAGCACCAGTGTGGCAAAACCCATAAGGCAGGTCACTTGTACCTCAAGGCGTCAATGTATGTAAGATTGCCACGGAAACTCTTCACAGCCCTTGACAGATTTTTCAATTTGATTTAGGTCTGGGCTGTGGCTGACACTTACTCTCGTTACTGAACCCCCAGTTGCTCCTGATCCTGCGTCATCAGTGGGTGAATGAGATAACAGTGTTTATTAAGCGCTTTGAGTTTCGAAGGTAGAAAAGTGCGATACAAGTGAAAGTCAATTTAGCATTTACCATTTACCTGTCTGCATATGAAGCATGTAGCGCGGGGGGGGGGGGCAATATGGTAGGCCCGCACTGAGGACTCAAATGATGCCCGCAGGCGCTTGGGAATAATAAACCACACGATGACTTACACTTGACATGAGGCAAGGAGACGCCAGGCTTAATTTATGTTAAAATATGATGAACCATGTTTATTACCGTGTTTCCTCAGACAGTGACCTAACAGATCCAAAGCCCCAATTAGTGGCCGAATGCATCCAAATAGCACCTCGACCAGGGAAGGAAATGGCTCATAACTAATTACCTCTGTTGCTTACCAAAACAGCGCCACCTACCAAACCACAAAAACAGAGTTCTCTGCAAAGTAAGGTCATTTGAGATCGGATTTTTAATGATTAGCATCCCATTGCTTATAAATTTTTCCTCATTTTAATGGTTTTGTCTTCTCCAAAATCATTTTTTTCCCCATTATATTTTAAAATTTACTCATGCATCCATCTTTACGTCTCAAAAAGCTGGCATAACTTAATTTTTTTTCCACTTTTTGTTCCCCATGGTGGTCATTTTTGCTTTGTTTTAGATTTCCAGATTTGACTGCTGAGTCAGTTTGGAATAAGTTGCTAACCAAAACACCAGCTCATCACAAAGCATCTACACAGTGTAGAGCATGTTGTAAAAGAGTCCCTGCATAGTAAAGATGATATATAGTATGTGGCGTCAGCAATTCGCATTCCAGTAGATTCGGATTCATGGTCGCTCCACAATGTTTTGGCCGCCCATGTATATGCCTCGAAAGAGTTTTCTTCAATGTTACAGAGCATGTTCAAAATGAGTTCCCTGTTCGGTATTCAAGATGATATTTGTGGATTTCTGAGTTGTGGTCGCCTCCATAATGTTATGTGTGTCCTTGTTTAAGCAATGGTTCACGTTGTGGAGTGTCTTCCTCTTTTACTGCATTTCTCTATGTTAGTCCTTTTTTAAAATTTCGTTTTAAACTCCACTTGCTCTTGACGCACAAACAAAGGCCTCCTCACACTCTGCAGTTCAGTAAACTCTGCCCAGCCCTTATGAACATTTTGTTTTTAGAACGACATCAAAGCCCTTCTCTATATTTTGGATGAACGTTCTCCAGACAGTTTTTAGAAGCCTGGCACATGCCTCGCGAGGTGTGAACATTAACACTCGCTTCGCCCGGGTTTGACGCCAGCACGCCTTGTGACTGAGGTGTCATTTGCATATCATCTCGGCTTAAATCACTTGACAGTCCCAACAGAAAGGGGAAGCTTCATCAGTAGCGGCTATCAGCGCATCCTCGGGGGGCCAGAGGCAATAAAGCACCCATCGCAGCAGACATCATATCTGAAATATGGCCCAATGTTCGCAACTAATCACCTATGTGGGGAAAACTAAAATACATCTTTTTTTTTCCTGACCTTGCAGGAGTGCTGCATGCAAGTACACACCTCACGTCAATTACACACCACCCTTACCCCATCACGAGAGTTGATTGACATCTATGGGGAGATTTCCTTTTACCTTGCGGAGGACACATCCAGCCCCACAGTCAAAGGGAGAAGACCAGCATCTCCGCCTCGGAAGGAGGTAAGAAATGGCAGCGGATTAATGCAGGTGTCCCGCACACGTTCGCCTGGCTTCCGGTAACATGTGGCCGGCCTTGGCAGCCCCGTCGATGCCCTTCAAGGAGGGAGGAAGAACAGGAGATCCGCCACGCCAGGGAGGAGTGAGCATTGCTCGGGGGAAGGCAGCCTCACCTCCTCCTCAAAAAAAAAAAGGAGTGAGATAGAAATGGATGGAGAGAGAGAGAGAGAAGAGGAGGAGGATGGAGGCTGCTTTTTTTGAACAGCCGCTGTGAATGACTGCGGCCAGATGTTCCTATAATTCCTCTCTCTCGTCCCCACTCTCTCTCTTAATCCAGATTGCCTGCTAGGTTGCCGCCGTCATACATCCGTGCAGACACACGGCGCGCGCACACACACTTCCTCTCGCTGGCCGGTTCCACTGGCGCTTGTGTTCGGAATTGCAATGGCGGCTGCACAGAGAGCGTTTGTTTGCGCAGACAGATGCAACGCACACTCACACATACATGAGCCCTGCCTGCCGGCCCGCCGCTCTCACGGGCCCAGCGTCATCATTTATTCATGCACACGCAGAGAGAGAGAGCGAGAGAGAGAGGAGAGATAGAGACTGCATGCGCGACAGAATGCAGCATGCACCACTTTCTCCTTCCCAAAAAGATACGGATTTGGGAGCAAAACTCATTCAGCCCACCACACCTGTTCGGCTGACCACCCAAAAAATTGGGTGGACCTGTCTATCATGACAGGAAAAAGTCTCAAGGTCCCGTCTTTGAAAGTGGCAAGAAGTCAGCCATTTTGGTATGAAGCAATAAATTCCAGGCTTTGACGAACGCCTACGATAGGGTAATGGCCCAAACAAGCCCAAATAGGAAGCAGGTGTCTCAGACAGATGGGCAGCGGTCGATTGCGAAGCTGTAATGTTTAATTAGTTTAGGGATAGACCTAAATGAAGAGGATGTGATGAAATATATGTTGTTGTTTCTGGGTGTTCCTGCATCTGTTGCAATCAGAGTACAGCACAGATCAGTCGTTGAAGAAATGTCGACTTGGCTGAAACTTAAAGCTCCCCTGTGAATCAGTTGGCACACTACAACAAACCCCCCCTCCCCCATAGTCCGCATTTCATACCTTAAAAGTTATTTATTTAGCCCTTCATTACAAAAATGTCTCAAAGGGCTTCACAGACCCACAGTTCAAAAAGACATCTAGGAAAGGAAAAACATTTCACAGGAAAAACACATTTTTATGAAACATTGAAAAGTGGATCACAGAGAGGAGAAATGGCAGTAAAATGGGCCTAAATCCAGATTCGAATAGGGGGGGGGAAAATGTGGCCTTCAAAAGGTAAGTACAAGAAGCATGCTCCACTGTGCACATTAAGTGGATGACGCTTTGTCCCCAGGGTGCTACTACTTTTGTATCCTTGACTTTGACATACCTTTGAACCATACCTCAGCGTTGGACCTCCTGGTAGTTACAAACAGTTACCTTGAGGTCCAATTATTAGCGTTCCGGGTTATGGAACTGGACACCTAATGTGTACTCGCCAGTGAAAGACCCGACGGGACACTTAAGTCATGATTATTTCAAACAATATCTCATGTATTTGATTACACAGCATATTGTAATAGCAGCACTTTGCCGCGGCCGTAATTACAACAGGCAGGCTCTCGGCGGGCGGGAAGTGTGAATGTCAGAACTCGCATGTGAGTGAGTCACCAGGGCAGTTGGCGGGCAGAAAATTGCATCGACACTCCCCGCGCTTCTCTAGGCACAATACAGTGTACCGCAACATGGATACATTGTAGTTTTCCTTTTGGAACGTACCTCATTTTCAATCATGGAATTCCTCGCTGCAATTAATATTTTTATTTATTTTTTCCTCATGTTTCTTTACATGATACTTTCACAGAGTACTTACCAAGTTCCACAAGCATGACTCACTAAGCTGCCGTAATACTAATCATTTTTCGCAGAGTACAAAGAATATATGTCCGGCAGCGTCGTGATTTTGCCTGTTTACAATCGGGAAGGTGTTTAAAAAGTTGAAGAAGAATAAAATCTTTTTAAGGGTCTCAGCGTCTGGAATGCACAGCGGTTCACTGTACACACTTTGATCTTGTCAGTGGCTGATGTCTTCCAGCAGCTGCTGAGGGGTGAGCTCATCGGTCTTCACCCCCGTGCGGCTCTTCATCTCCAGGAAGAGGCCCTCGATGTCCCGTGGCGGGTCTGCGATGCTGCGACTCCACAGGACCTCTGAGATTCCCAGCAGCTCGCGCACACGTGCCGCGATAGCCTGCCGAGCGCACCGCAGGTGAGTACGGAAAGTCGGACGGGGGTAAGGGAGCCCTTTGATAGAGTGTCTAAATTTTTGTTTGGTGCTCTCGTCTTGCCGAGAATTGAGACTTTTTCGTCTTTTGAGAGGAAGATGAAGGAGGCTGTGTGAGCATCCTGAATCAAATAGTCCTTCGTTATCTGTTTGCACCTGCTTCCACCTTGATGCTGCCGCACTGAAGTAGGCACGCTAAGCTAATTTAGCTGTCAGTTCAGTCTGAGAGACACGAGATATTTTGATGATCATATTCAGCTGTATGAGAAGGCTTTTCAGTTAATCAATCCAAAGTTTGTGTAATCCATTGTGTAGGTGTAACCTAATTAAGTGGCCAATGAATCTGTGAGTCAGTCTTCTATTTGAATGCTGCGCACTGTTAATTCAAATCAAGGTGCACATAGAGAAAATGTGTTTGACAAGCAGAAAGCATATGTTGGATATGGTCATGTGTTCTGCACATTTTCTCTAACCTTCTTTCATATTCTATTTTAAGCTTCTATTGTATATTTTAAGACTCGTGAGCGGCTTTCACTACCTGCATGTCTTTAAAATCTGTGATTCCAAGTCTTGGCATATGGACACAATCCACAAAGATCAGCTTCCTGCCCGTGACACAGTTCTCGGTGAAGCACAGCTGCCATGAAAACAATTTAACTGATTATAATCACTATATCGTGTTATCCAGTGTTGTGTCTGGCGAGCATCAATAACAACCTACTTTATATTGTGGAAATCCAATGGATTCAATCCATGTCGCAACATCTTCACAACTCCATTGCAGGAACTCCATCTTGCTTGTACCCATGTTACCATGGAAACTAGCACTTCACAACTCGAGTGTTTAATTTGACTTGTTTGCCTTCACCCAGCTTGTCTCAGAGCGAGCTTTGACGCTTAAAACGAGTTTTATTATATCTTGACTTTTTTAATTGTTCGTGTACGCACCTTTTGACATATTTTTGACGCACGCATCGCCAAGAGGTTTGAACCAGAGACAAAGTTATATTGCGGTGACGGAGTGATAGCAGCCAATCATCTTCTAGGAAATTAGGGCGTCTTTGAATACCGCCTGAGGATTGGTCCGCTGTTTAAACCTCCCGCCTAACAAGGAAGCGAAACGACGACTGCACTCGCTGACGTGTGTTTTAATCGATTCACAAACCACATGGAGTAATGGTGAGCCACAAACATTGAGCACTCCGATTGGTTTACGGATCCAACCCCGCCCCCCGCCTCCTGTAATTCTTGCCAGGGGACGTTTTGACGGCTTCTACGTGATTTGTGGTGGGTCGCTTGAAGGACTAAAACCGTAACCTTAGTTTCCACAATGGCAGCAATATTCCGCTCCGTGCTGAAAAAGAAGGTAAATCATCAAACTGGCGTTAAAATGTCAACTTCTCGGCTGCTGGGTTGGAGCTAATAGCTACGTAGCTAGCTTGCAGCACGCGCTGCTGCTCGCTGTTTGTTCATGAGACTTGGTTGGTCGGTTAAATCCGATCCTATTCGCTCTACTTCAATTGATTGTAGAGTAAATGTGTTTTGATTCCTGACATGAAATGGAGCCTTATTTGCATGACGTGAACCAGATTGCCTAGTTGAGTGCTCACCAAATTTGTTTGAATACTTTCCAGACATCCTCCGTGCAGCTGGGCCGTATGTGCTACTCCTCTGTGGTAAGATGAGATCTCCCACTATGCAGCTTTTCCAACTCTCCAATATGTAACATCGCGTCAGTTCAGCGTCAGCATGACAGGGCTCCTTCACGTCACTTTTAGTCTAATTGAAGTAGTTTTCATTGCAAAAAAAAAAAAAAACGTAGAATTATGGTCAAACAAAAGCCCCTTTACACCCCCAGCTTGTTGTTATTATGAGCAGCATATGTTCTGAATCACTAGTTGCCCAAAAAGTACAAACACATCCGCCCATCCATGTTCTATTCAGTTTACCAGAGGTTTGATTAAGTCATAAATGTTCAAGACTCAAATCTCGCCTTTCAATCTTCAAGCAACTTACTTACTGTGGGGGGCAAAAAAATCAAACAAGTCAAGTCAACCTTGCTTACGTCCAACATGTAGTTACACATTAGTCATTTTGTCTAAATTAGTTATTAGCTTTTCTGCCTCACACTTGTGAGTCTTGAGGTTTGAATCCCTGCTTGCGGTGGCCTTTTCCTAGAACTTTGGCTTCTTCCAACATCACACAAACATGCGTGTCCGTATAGCAAAATCTTTCTCACTCTGTAAACCTGAATCAAGCTTTTGTCGAATTCCACAGCAGCCCTCCAGATAGCTGATGCCCAACTTTGCATAAACAGCTGCTCTCGGGGTTCAATGTTTTCATCTGATGTGGTAGCAGCAGTCCTTCTGCTTTGTCGTTCACCAAGAACAAATCCTGTTGTGACGGCCATAAAGCTTGACGGCCAAACCAGTTCAGGGTGTACCCCTACTCTCAATCAAAAACAGCTGAGATAGGTTCCCGCAATCATATTCCCAATGAAGACATGTGCTGCAGAAAAATGGAAAGATAGATTAGCTCGCACAAGATTCACCACCCCACCAATAAAAGTCCTACAGCCATTAAAAATGCCTTTAAAAAGATAATGGTTCCACATAAAGTTTCCATTTGAGAGTGTACATCACGTGACGGTGTATTTGTGTGACCTCTGCAGCCCACCACCAAGCTCTTCATTGATGGAAAATTTGTAGAGTCCAACACATCGGAATGGCTCGACATCCACAACCCTGTGAGTATTTATAGATGCATTTGCTTGCTCTGTTGCACTATCAGAGGTAGTTTGAGGAGATGAAACAAGTACTGCAAAAGATATCAGAGTCCTCGGCAACATTCTGGCAAGCTCATGAAGCCTCGTAAATACTGCAAGTCGAATTTACGACGTTGTCAAAGACCAGCAAAAACATTTTGCCGTAAATGTTAATGCGTGAGCTGATGTAACGACTTCCCCGCATTGGTCGCAGCCGGCGTGTCTGAACGCGCTGTCTCTGCCCCCCCTCGCAGGCCACTAATGATGTGGTGGGCCGTGTCCCCAAAGCCACCCAGTCAGAAATGCTGGCCGCCGTGGAGTCCTGTTCCCGCACGTTCCACTCCTGGTCGGAGACGTCCATCCTGAGCCGCCAGCAGATCTTCCTGCGCTACCAGCAGCTCATCAAAGACAACATTGTAAGAGTTGTTTGACACGTGTCATCACAACCACTTTGTGAGAAAATGTTGCCGAAGCTTGTCTGTCTTCCTTTTTTTAAATTTTAGAAAGAGTTGGCTAAGATGATCACGTTGGAGCAAGGCAAGACGCTGGCAGATGCTGAAGGCGATGTATTCCGAGGACTGCGTGAGTAGAAGTCCCGAGGTTTTTTTTTTTTTTTTTTTAAATTTTAGAAAGAGTTGGCTAAGATGATCACGTTGGAGCAAGGCAAGACGCTGGCAGATGCTGAAGGCGATGTATTCCGAGGACTGCGTGAGTAGAAGTCCCGAGGTTGTTTTTTTTTTTTTTTTTTTTTTTTTTTTTTTTTTGAAAAAACTAGTACACCAATGGAAAAAGCAAATGAGGTGTTATTGATCAATTTAAAGTCCCCTCGGGGCAAGTGTTTTTCTTGACTTTCCGGTGTTATTCATCTTCATGGATCCTCATGGATTGATGCGTTTCCACTAAAGACAGCTGCACAGTGGATCGCGGCGCGAGGCTTCCTAAGCGCCCCAGTGAGCTTTTTATGTGCGTCGTCCGGATTGATTGCTGCTGGCCGCTTAATGGGCCGCGATAAAAACACAATTTGGCTCGATCTGTCTTGCTGTCTTTTACTTTCTTTCTTTCTTTCTTTCTGATGACGGAAACAGAAATCCTGCCGCTGACTGCGTCGCACGCTCGTCCACAGTAAAAACGCGGCTTCAGCTAAATGTGGATGCTAGCTTGGGCGCTAAATGGGAACGCTCTGGAGCAGGATGCAAACCTTTTTTTTGACGCCAAAGTAACAAACGCTGTTCCGTACCAGCACGCAGTCACACCCTGTTGACACAAGCTGCGTTTACCCAAAGGCAATCGGCCGCTTCGGAAACTACTGATCGAGCAAGTGTATTATTAACTCATTCACTCCCAAAGACGTTTTCAAACGTCTTTTCAGACTTGGTCTAGAATTGGCTGGTACTGAAATTAAGCATGAAGTAGATGGCTTGCTTCAACATCGTTTTAACAAGTTTGATGAACTCTGACTTTTTTTTCTCAGCCGACTTGACATACTTGTAGCTTTGTCGCCATCCTCCGACAGAGGTGGTGGAGCACGCCTGCAGCATCACGTCGCTGATGCTGGGCGAGACGCTGCCGTCCATCACCAAGGACATGGACACGTACACCTACCGCCTGCCCATCGGCGTGTGCGCCGGCATTGCTCCCTTCAACTTCCCCGCCATGATCCCGCTGTGGATGTTCCCCATCGGCATGGTGTGCGGCAACACCTACCTGATGAAGCCGTCGGAGCGCGTCCCCGGATGCACCATGCTGCTGGCCAAGATGCTGCAGGACGCCGGAGCGCCCGACGGCACTCTCAACATCATCCACGGCCAGCACGCGGGTCAGTGCCATAAACAACGCGGGCGCGGTTTTTATTCCGAGGAGGATTTTAAAGCCTTTGTGTGTGTTTTCAACGCAGCCGTCAACTTCATCTGCGACCATCCCGCCATCAAAGCCATCAGCTTTGTGGGATCCAACCAGGCGGGAGAGTACATCTATGAAAGAGGCTCCAAGAACGGGAAGAGGGTGCAGTCCAACATGGTACGTCTTAGCCTACAATGCTAATACTCACACTTGATGCGATAGGCGTTACTTTATGCGCAGGATTCTGCAAAAAATTGCAGCTTGCTGAATGTATTAATTGTTTTACCCAGGGTGCCAAAAACCACGGCGTGGTGATGCCGGACGCCAACAAGGAGAACACCATCAACCAGCTGGTGGGCGCCGCTTTCGGAGCGGCCGGCCAGCGCTGCATGGCTCTCTCCACCGCCATCTTTGTGGGCGAGTCTCGCGAGTGGCTCCCGGAGCTGGTGGAGCGCTCCAAATCGCTGCGCGTCAACGCAGGTAAGTGCCGTGCCCTCCCCAAGTGTTAGTTACATGTTGCCGATTAACGACGGACATTGTAAAGGCGATCAGCCCGGCGCGGACGTGGGCCCGCTCATCTCTCCCGAGGCCAAGGCCCGCGTGGAGTCCCTGATCCAGAGCGGCGTCAACGAAGGCGCCAAGCTGCTGCTGGACGGCAGAAACGTCAACGTCAAAGGATATGAGAACGGCAATTTTGTGGGACCCACCATCTTGGGCAGCGTAACGGTAATCCTCCATCAAATCTTTTTTCCTCTCTATCCATTGTTTCAAGAAATGACGTTTTCGACTACCTACAGGTTCCTAAAATTGTCCAGCTTCTTATGTTGGCATTTTTCTCCCTCTTAATTGCTGTGAGAAGCCGAGCTTCATCCCCTAGTCTTTATCCTCTATTCAAAAGCTCTGCTGATTTCAAGACCGTCTTTCACGTGTACAGGTTGGAAAACCTACTCAAATAAAGGTCGTTATTTAAGCAGCCATATTTCTAATGAGATAAATGAATACAAATGAAAGTGCATTTTTAATGAACCAATACTCCGGTTGGGGCGGTGTCTAAATTAATGCAACAAATATGACAGCACTCTTGATAATGTATGATGTTGTTGTAACTGCTTGGGGGCCACACTTTGCCTGCCCATTGCTAAAATGTAATGGAGGGTAACCAGAGACAGAAATGCCCCTGTAAGAATCACATCACTCCGAACAAAAGCATCCTAACACTTTTCAACGGTTGCCTCCTTTTCGCTGCGGGTAGGGTATTTATTCAGACGGAACATCGAATCCATAATAAAAGAAAGTTCCACCGCATTGTCGTGTCTTCCCGCAGCTGTTCAGTCTTGTGTCCCCCCACTGAGCGTCTATCCCGAGGAAGATGATAAAATACTTGTTTTACGCTTTCGCCGAAGCATAAAAAGTTTGAACTTTCAAGCAGCTGCAGGCAAAGACTTGATATTTATTGCATTTAATGATGTCTCCAGCCGGACATGACATGCTACAAGGAAGAGATTTTTGGACCGGTGTTGGTCGTGCTGGGGGCTGACAACCTAGATGACGCCATCTCCATGATCAACAACAACCCCTTCGGCAACGGCACGGCCATATTCACCTCCAACGGGGCCACGGCGCGCAAATATACGCACGAGGTGGACGTGGGCCAGGTGAAATGAGTCGGCAATAATATATAGGACATTGACAAGTCCTCATCGAAAGGGGACTGGGGCATTTGCAATATTACCCAAATACAGACAGCAACCTGTCTGCATATATGATGTAGTGACGATAGTTTGTGATTTTTCCATAGATTGGCGTGAATGTTCCCATTCCTGTGCCCCTGCCCATGTTCTCTTTCACCGGCTCCAGGGGCTCCTTCAGGGGAGACACTAACTTCTACGGCAAACAGGTCAGAAATCTTTAAAATCGTACATTCGCCACGGAAAAGCAGATTCATTGACTCAAACGGACCCGTTGCACATTTGTTTGTGTAGGGTATCCAGTTTTACACACAGATCAAGACCGTGACGTCGCAGTGGAAAGCCGAGGACGCCACCGTGACCAGCCCGGCGGTCACCATGCCGACCATGGGACGCTAAACCTCCAGCGCTACCTTCAGTGACTTTGACATGTGCCTTAAAAAACATGACGGAGAAATGGAGGACGGATGCTCTTTTCTTTTTTTTTTTTTAAACAGAAAATTTATTTCGTTGGTGGGTTTTTAAAAAGCTGGGAAACAAACAGGTCATCATCCGCGCTCCTCCTGCGGACAAAGTGTTGTCGGGCCTCATCGATATTGCATTGACAAGTTAGATCCTTTTCGTGATGTCTGCTGTCGTTCCTTTTAAGCCTGAAGGTGCAATAAAATCAAGATTAACCTCCAAGCAGTCACATCAGACGTCTTCCGCCAACCAGAGCTTCCCAGCACACGCATCAAATGATACAGGTGTATGCTGATTTATGGTCCCATACTAAATGTGATGACACACTTTCATCTGTGATGCTTTCTATATTCCCTGTGTCAATGTTGTCTGCTCTGTGTCAGATTGAAGTTTAATGCCAATAAACTGCCGAGGTTTATTTGGTATTAGTGATGCGTGAGATATGTTTGGAAAGCCTTTAACTGTAAAACGCTATGTCACACTAAACTGTAGATTTGCAAGACTTGCACAAATTTATCAGCCAAATGCTGCAAAGGTTAACCCTCATGCGTTAAAAGGCGTACCCACTTTTAGCACACTGTATATTACAATACAACGGAAAATAATGTAACAATTTGAAACACATTTTACCTTTTTTTTATTGGTACGGATATTTGGACGAGGAGCGTTATGGCGAGACATCCGTGGTTCTCCTCTGACAGTTCGATTTTCACGACTTTGTAAATAGCTAATAAGTCAGATACATGTTGCGCGCCAGCTGTGTTTATTCGCCGGTTTGTTTTTTCGAATTTTGCGTTTGGTTTGACGTGTTTTCGTAAGCTAGCATGCTGTGGCTTTAGCTCGCGAAAAGTTGCAAAAAAAAAAGATAACCGACTGTTAAAATAGATACGTTTCCCCTTTTTTCCAAACTTTATTCTGAGGATATACATTTTGTAGTGTGCAAGTGAAGCTGTATATTTAGTGAAGCTGTACTGTATATTTGCGTATACTGACGTCACCTGCGACCTCGGCGTCCTTATTTTTCTTGTGTTGACAAACGAAAATTTGATTTCACCGCGATCTTTTGGGTTTTGCAGGTTCTTCAGCCCCCGGCCCCGTTGGGACCTGCAGAGAGCACCCCGCAAGCATCCAGACGAGATTTACGTCTCAACTATTTCAGCGGAGTTTCCCCGATCAACAAAGCATCTTGAAACAATGAATAAAGTTGGCTTGCGCGTTTTGGAAGTGTGCGGAATGGGTGTTTTATTTGCACTTTATTCACGATCGCCAAGAAAGCAAAATGAAAAAACGACACGATCTCGGTCAACTGGTCTTCAATCGAAAACAAAGTTGGCTTTGCACTTTCTCTCCTGATCTCAGGATGACATTCTGAAGGCAGGCAGTGGTAGGAAATACTGGCGTGGTCGAGGGGGTATGGGTGAGGTAGGTTGGCGTGCCGTCACATCGCACACGAGAGACGCCACCCGTCTCACCAATTTTTTTTTTTTTTTTACCTTCAAAACCAGCCTCGTGTGGTCAGCCACCTTTGACTACATATAAAAATGGCGAAATTTTCATGCCGGGATGGCCTGATGGTAAAATACATCACTGGGTCGGCAGGAGGGTCGAGTTCGATCCTCCATCTGCTCTCCATTTATACATTTAGCAAGAGTCGGGCCCGGGTTTCTCGTCACCTCGTCCAGGTGCAAAGTTAGAAGTTTGAACCAGAAGCGAACACTCCACGAGAGATGCCAAGCGTCTCACCAAACATGTTCCTTTTTTGAACATCTCAACATAATGAGGCTGACGCCCTATGACTACATATAAAAATTTCGAAATTTTCGCAGGAGAATGGCCGAATGGTAAAAGACAACGCGTGGTAGTCAGGCGAACCGGGTTCGAGACCAGCCATGTGCTCCATTTATAAATTGAGCAAGAATTGAAGCCGGTTTTCCCGGGTGCCAAGTATTGTCGTTATCCATTCGACCACGCTGGGTCACTGAACAAACTTTTCGGGTGCTTATATTTAACCTATTCTTCAACGGGACTAGTAAATACATGTAATAGTGTTTGACGTCACTGTGGAGAGATAGCCCAGTGGTATATGACAGGGGTTCTCCACTGGTAAACTCCAGTTCGAAACCCGGTGCCGTCCTTTGACAAAGCCTTCGTCATTTCGCTCGGATTTTTTCCACACATCTTCAGTCATTTCCTGTTTCTAATTTAAACTTTTTTTTTCTTTCCGGAAGTGACGTCATCAACGGAAACCTATTTAAGCCGGCCCAATGAGGCACTCATTCTTTCTCACCTTCGACAGCTTCCGCTCGTCCTCCCGCTGCTCCAGCTCTGAACGGCCGTGCACCACGGAAAACTTTCAACAAAGGTGAGTTTTTTACTCTTTAATAGCCTCTTAAAACACATCACTTTCGCTCCCTTTGAATTGAAAGCAGCACTTTCGATGTGCTCGCACCTGGCTAACAGGTGCGAGCAAAAAATGTTTGCTCGAGCATGAGCAATCAACGTCTCCTGCGACCTTGCTTTGCAACAAAACCTTTCCCCCCCCCCTCCCCCAACCTTCTAGGACTAAAGCGACGTTCGCCGAGAGGGTAAGTAGACAAAACTTATTTCTAAATTCACAATTAAACCGAACTAATGTGCATGCGTGTTAATTGTCTTTTCTGTTCACAGGTACAAATCTTCAAATTGACTAAACACGGGCCACTCGCTGTGCGTTTTAATGTGGAATTTAAGTCCTGAACAGTTTGGAGCAAGCCCATCTAATTTGTCTCTTTTTCTATCCACAGGCTTTGCATCTGCTACAGAATGGCCAAATTGACTGCAACAAGGTAGAACTGCCACATTTTAAGATACCGCCGTACGACAGACCAAATCCCCAATGCGTCGATTGTAATTTCTGTCTCCACAGGCTCACGTCGGCAGAACGACCCATAAAATGGCTGCCATCTTGTGGAGTTTTGGGCGCCGGCAGGTGTTCGACATGCCGACCAAATGTCGGGGTGCTGAGCCAGGCGCTTGGAAGGTTGAATATTTAAAAGTCAAGCGCTTACTTTACCGTGTCTTTCAGGCCACCGCGCTGTCCAAGAGGCATCCAGCTCTGCTCTCCTCACAACTGAAGCAAACTCTTTCATACACGTGTGACTACTCGCAATTCAATCAGCACGTGATTGACTAAAAATTGGGCACAGGTGTCAAAACCAGATGTGTAAAAAAAAAGTTTGGCTTCTTCTCAACCAACTCCCGGGAAGCTCGTTGAGTAGGCGCACCTGTGGCTCAAATCAAACCGTGGTGGGGCTCTTAATTCTGGCCCTCTCACACTACTCCAATCAGGTGCGTTGCACCAGGGAGACAGGGAGGAAACTCAGCGGAGTAACACCTGCTCAACATGTGTGATTTTTGTCCACCAGATGGTGCTCAAGGACCTGATAGACGTTGTGAAGCCGAGTCGTCCCTCAACGTTTGGACCTGTTGCTTGTCGGCAGGCCCTCAGGAAATGTGGCGTCACGATCCACCTGATGTCACACGCGCAGACTGGTGACTGGAGCTCCACCTAAAAAGTACTGCATATTTTGTTTTCAAGCACACTCGCCTGCTTTTTCTTTGACTCTACATGCAGTGCAGCTTCCAGTCAGAGTGCTGCCAGAGACACTGCACCTGCTGGGCAAAGAGGCAAATGCGACAAGCTTGTAGCAGGTCCTCACTGCTGCCTCCATTTTCAACGTTGCCGTTGAAAGGTACGAAGAAAGAGTGACTGGTCTCTCGTTTGTGGTGTTGGCAGGTTTGACCACCTTGGATGAGTCACTGGACCAGTAGCAGTTTGGCCTGTTGGTGTTGATCACGCTCGACCAACTGTCGCAGCAAAAGGTTCCAGTTAATCAACACTTGAAAACGAGTTGAAAAATGAGGAGCAGAGTAAAACGAAACTGCGTTTGTTTGTAAATGGCGTCTAACCGACCTGTACTTTGTCTTTCAGATGGAGCTGTTGAAGTGCGATGAGGTGAAACGTGACTCTGCGCCATCTGCTGGTAAGAAGTCTCATTTCAACAAGCCTGTTTTCATTTTTCAGAGTTGCAGGAAGATTGTTCTTCCTCCGTGCCACAAGAGGGAGTTACCTGCTCACCACCAGAGTCCACCGAAGAGCACAGACCTGCAGGCAACGCTTTTTGCTCTTCTTCCTGTTCCTCGCAAGGTGCTAAAGTCAAACTTTGGGCCAGCCTGAAAAGTAGGAGACATTTACACTCGTTCAATGCACCAGCATGACTATTTTTTTCTCCTTCTCCCCCAGGCAGCAGTAAACATGATCGACTGGTAAGCTTCATGCCCAACACATCTTTGTCTGCACAAGAAGTTGACTTGCATGTAACTCACGGATGCCTTTCCTCTCAGGTCAACACCTGTGTCACGTTCCTCTCAAGAGCCGACCGACCACTTCGCCGCCCAGCAACAAGCAGACCTGCCATCCAACTTGCAACTTTTTCCTCTGCTTTGTGATTGTCTGCTCTGCAAATGAAATAAAGCTTGATTACAAAGAACACTTCAACTCTCAACTTCATTTTTAAACACATCATCACAAACCTAAAAAGAAACCTTTTAAAAAACATTTTTTTTCGTAAACTTTTTTCTAAATTTTTAGAATTTTTTTTTCAAAATTTTTTTTCAGAATTTTTTTTTCAAAATTTTTTTCCTGGATTTTTTTTTTTCCGGCAGAAAAAAAATCCAGGAAAGTGGGTGTGGTATGGCTGGAATGATGGCTGATGATTCGCTGAGAGCTGTGAAAGGGGGTGGAGCATGACGATAACATGCTGTGATTGGTGGAAAGAGCGGCGTGATTATGCAAATCAGGTGTTCGCCGATTGGTGTGATCAAAAGGGGGCGTGGTTATGCAAATTTGGAGCAATCTGATTGGTCAGAACCTGGAAAGTGGGCGTGGTTATGTAAATCGCTCGATTTTTGATTGGTTATGCAAATTTATGCAAATGAGGGCCTTGTCGTGATTGGTGGATGTGAAATTGGGTGTGGTTTGGGCGGACATTGCAGCACTTTTTCAAAGTCCCACTTGAGTCTTGAGCTCAGACTTGCACTTCGGTCACATCAGACAGTCTTTTCACTGTTCCCGTCGGTTTCACATGACCCAAAAGCTCGATTCCTGGACTTTCGAGTCGTGGAGACCAACGGGAACAGTGAAAAGACTGTCTGATGTGACTGAAGCGCAAGTCTGAGCTCAAGACTTCAGTCTTTGAAAAGGCTTCGAGTGAGTTGAGGATGGATTTGGTCATGAAAGGCAAAGACTCGAATTGAAGTTGAACAATTTATTGGACAGAAAAGCAAACATGACAATGTAAAAGCATTTGACCAGTCAATTTTCTGTGGGCCAGTTCAAGTTGCACGCGCACAAAAACTGACGACAGGCCCGGGATGGGAGCATGTGCTTTGACCAGCTCATACCTGATGTCACTGACATCTCATGACACACCAAGGGGGACATGAGCACGTCTGACTTCTCTCACTGAGACAAAAACTAACTGCCGTGTATTTCACAACAACATGATCACACTCTTCTGGTCAAGTTTTTAAATGACATTGAAGTGGGCCAAGTTAGTCATATGTATATATATATATATATATATATATATGCATACATAGACACATTTTTAAACTAACTTGGTCCACTTCAAGGTTTAAAAACATATTCCAGAAGTGCTTGATGATGCTCAGGTTGTCTTTGTGGAGTTGACACTGTTGTGCAGTACACGAAGCAGAAGTTGAAGTTGAGTGAGAGACAGACAGGCGGGTGCACTCACCTCCACCTTGTGGTGCAACGTGACATTAGACATCAGCTCTTCAAGCACACCACACAGCTCAGTACTCACACATGTCAAAATGCAGGTTGGCGTCCCTTCCGCATGGCCCAGTAATCTGACGAATCTGGTTAGGCAGAAAAAAAAAAACAAAAGTGGAAAGTCACACACTTTAGTCTATGAAAAAGTTGGTTTTTCCACTCGCGGCTCTCTCCCCACACCGAAAGTACAATGAGCAACCTCCTTTCGAAAAACAAGTGAACAAAGTCACGGGTGTATTTGTGTGAATAGTTTTGAAACAAATCTGCCCCCCGATGTGAAGCCATCACACTTCCACTGCTGATAGCAGCTTTGGTGTGGAAAACATACAGAATAGTATTCAAGTCAAACGCTGTTCTCGATTGCTTTTTGATTTGACAGCTGAGGTCTACTTGTCGGCGGCGTGCTCGCTCACTGCCCCCTTTGCTGACGTTGTTTTCAACGATAAATTCCAGTGACTGAGTAACAACAAAATTAGAGGAGCAACGTGTCTTAATAACGCTCCCCAATTGTCTACATCTATACACTCAAGAGATAAACTGCGAAGTCAGTTTAAAATGTTAAAATTACTCACCGAGAACAGGGCTTGTTGACAGCGGAAAAACTTGGCTCATTGAACCGGATGTGGTACCGTTCTTGTGCTTGTACTTCTTCTTCTTCTTGGTGAATTGGATGTCTTTAGTTCATATCGCCCCCTACTGCCCGGGAAACCACAAAGGCGTTTCGCAAGCAATCTGAATCTAATTTACAGTATTCGCCAAGCGTGCAAAAACACAAAAGCATACCTGTCATACTTTTCCGTATTTTATTAGTTTTTTTTTCATCATTTCAAATCGCGTACGGCGTATTACAACTTTTATACGGGAAAAAAATTGTGAACCGATCTCACAAAGACCATTTGGCTCAAATCCAGATCGTCTCACCACGCAAACGTTCCATCGATTGGGTAAAAAAAATTAAACGTTGGGAAAAGTACGTTTCAACAGTTATTGAAACTTTGGAAAAGTAGACTGAGAAATGTATGCAAATTTAAAAAAAAAAGAAAATTGAGACCTGAAAAGTTATAGAAATCAAATTTTACAAAATGGGTGAATGAGGGCTCAAAGGTAATAAAAAAGGAAATGGAAAGAAATGGGGCTTAAATTTTTTTTTCAATAACAAAAAAAACTTTATGCTGATGAACAAAATAACTATGCTTAAACATTCAAATAATTCATATTTGCAAAACCAAACCAGAAAACATCTTTTTTTTCACTTTGTTTTTTTTTAATAACTACAAAAAGGCATATGAGTTATTTGGTTGTCTGTTTTCTCATTAGTTAAGCAAGAAAGTGAAGAATGTGGAAGCAAGTTGGACCCTGGGCACCACCCTGGATCACTTTGAAAATCTCCAAATACATCAAGGAGGTGGAGCTTGTTGAAAAGGTCCCCATTCTTTACCTGTAATGTTGACAGGTTTGCAGAGGTAACGATTACCTTTCAGAAATCTTAGGGACGCTTTTTTTCTTGATATAAATGTTGACCTTTGACACTTTGCGGTGCAGAGGTGCAGGGTTCAATTGCAGCAAAGCGCGGCCAGTTGACATCAAAGACACACCTTGTCACAGACACCTCGTCAACTGGTCGCGCTTTGTGTCTGTGACTAGGCTGTCTTATCGTCAACCTGCCGCACTGCAAAGGTCACGAAATGACAACAAAAAACGAAATCAATATGCAGCAGTTTAATTTAACATCACCTTCCCCATGTTTGTACAGTACATTTTGACGGTACATATAATGGAAGGCAAAATTCAGATGTACCTCACACTGAAAGCAGGCAGGACAAGCATTGTACATTGCACAGTGCAGTCGACCCTGCATGTTGGAAGTCTTAAGTCAGCGATGTCCATGTTTTGTTCAGAGAGTGTTCGTCAGGCAGCCGTGGCCAGCCGCACGTCCCTCAGAGGCTGCATGAAGAACCTGAAGATCACCAAAGCCTCAGAGGTCATGGAGGTGCACTTCAACAAGGCTCTGGAAGTCCAAGGAGTTCAACCGCTCTCGTATCCCGCCGTCGCTGCCTCACAATCAACCCACACTTGAAGCAACTTCCCATTTTTCCTCCGCAGCTCCATTTCGGTCCGACTTAATGTTCAATAAATATGGTCAACGTCTCCTTAATTTTGTGCATTTGCCCGATTTCATCACAACACTCACTCAACCGTTAAAAACAATCAGAATCACCCATCTATTATTTTTGAACAGCTGGCATGTTTCCTCGCTTCCAATTTAAATTAGCTTACCTTCATCCACCACCACCACTTGGCTAGTTTCAAATATTGTGCCTTGACATAATCTTCAGAAATATTAATTTGACATTTGGCACAAGTCGCCTTTCCATTCATTTCTATAGCAGTGCCACCACATCTCCATGAGTGGGCCCTTCTGTCGTCATGGTGACAAGCTGGTGTGGAGAAGAGAGGACACTCACAGATTCTGCGGGACCTGAGGGAATGATAAGCGGAAATAAGTGGTTATGTCAAGGACTAACGTTTACGATACATGGTCTTTTTTTCCGGCTAAAAACACCTGACTATACATAGTCGTTTTTTTCGGCAAAAACGCGTTACTATACATGGTCGTTTTTTTTTTCGGGCTAAAAACGCCTTACTATACATGGTCGTTTTTGTGGTGCTAAAAACGCCTTACTATACATGGTCGTTTTTGGGGGGGCTAAAAAAGCCTGACTAGACATGGTCGTTTTCTTCAGGCTAAAAACGCCATCCTATACATGGTGTTTTTTTCCGGCTAAAAATGCCTGACTGTACATGGTCGTTTTTTTTTCAACAAAAAACGCCTTACTATACATGGTCATTTTCGGGGGGCTAAAAACGGCTGACTATATTGTACATGGTCGTTTTTTTTTTCGGCAAAAATTGCCTTACTATACATGGTCGTTTTTGTGGTGCTAAAAACACCTTACTATACATGGTCGTTTCTTTCGGCAAAAAAAGCCTTACTTTACAGGGTCGTTTTTTTCGGCAAAAACGCCTGAGTTTGAAAAGCTAAAAAAAAGCCTCATTTACATGGTCATTAGAAAAACTGTTCGTGTACATGCAAATGATGGCCGAGACCTGGATTCGAACCCTGCACCTCTGCACTGTTAAGACGAGGGACTAACCAGTCAACCACGTTGGGGGTGCTATATCATGGTCGCAACTAACAACCCAAAAAGGCCTATGGCTACATATTCGTTCTAAATAAATAAATAAATAAATAAACAAACAAACAAACAAACAAACTTTGCAGACAATGGCTGAGAACTGGATTCGAACCCCGCACCTCTGCAATGTTAAGCCAATGCTCTAACCAGTCAACCATAGTTGCGGTGCTCTTCTGAGCCTATAAGAACCCAAAAAGGTCTTCAAATACATAGTCGTAAAAAAAAAGCTTGACACACAAACCGCGACCCCCAGAAGAAGGCCAAGACCTGGATTCGAACCAAACACCTCTGCGATGTTAAGCCGACGCACTAACCATTCGACCACGGTGGGGCTACTACATCACAGTTGTAACTAAGAACCCAAAAAGGCCTTTGGCTACATCGTCAATCCAAAAAAAAAAAAAAAAAAAAAAAAAAAAAAAAACTTGGCAAGTAAACTGCAGACGATAGCTGAGACCTGGATTCAAACAGAGGAGCACCTCTGCAATGTTGTGCCAATGCACTAAGCAGTCAACCACGGTGGCACTGCTATCACGACCTTGTAACTGACAACCCAAAAAGGCCTTTACCTCCATAGTTCAAAAGCTCGACATGCAAACTACGCAGAGGGAGACTGAGACCTTGATTGGGCTAAAAACGCCTTATTATAATTGGTCATTTTTTTCGGGCTAAAAACGGCTTTCTATACATGGTCGTTTTTTTTTCGGCCTTACTATATACATGGTGTTTTTTTTCTGCTAAAAAGGCCTTACTGTACATGGTCGTTTTTTTCGGGTTTAAAATGCCTTACTAAACATGGTCGTTTTTGGCGGGCTAAAAACGCCTTACTATACATGGTCGTTTTTTTTGCGGGGGGGCTAAAAACGCCTTCCTATACATGGTCAGTTTTTTTTTGGCAAAAAAACGCCTTACTTTACATGGTCGTTTTTTTTCGGGCTAAAAACGCCTTCAAAAATGGCAATTTCCTAAAAACAAAATATTGTCCTTCTCACCCTCCCCAAAAAAGCCACCTTGGAGGTAATTGTACTTAAAATAAGTGGCTTCATCCCTAATAAAAACCAGTCCACCAACCTGGTGACCTGAGCATGGCGTGATGGGGGTTGACGGCTTCCACACCGGTGGCCATGGCGACCAGGCTGGCCCTGCTCTCGCAGTCGGCCTCCAGGAGGCTGCTCTGTGTCAGGGCCTCAGCTGTCACACAAATGAACCAAAAGTGACATTGTCTGCCATGTGTCATTCCATCTTGTATCTGTCTGCTATTTTTTTTTCAAACCCAACACTGTAAAAAACCCAGATTGAAGCACATGTTCAATTAGACCGCGCATGCCAGAATACAAGTGCCTATTTTTTGAGCCCGTCTGTCTGCCTCATAACACCCGCGATCCCCACCATGACGCTTTTGTGTCGATAAATAACTTGGCTTGCCAGAAGAAGAGCTCATTGGGAGCTCTCCGCGATTCACCCTTTAAATTGTTCAATGCACCTCATGAGAGACAAAAGCAGCAAGACAGTTTTTATTTATTTTCAACAGCACACTGTTGGAAAAACTCAAGGGAGGAGCTAAATGCACTTGAGCCTGATGATGATTGGTCAGCCATAAAGAAAAGTGGCACTTTTTAAACCACACTGTAGACCCAGGGGAAGCGCGGTGTCCTCATGGTTCACGCCTGCCTCACAGTTGAGAGGTATTGGGTTCAGATCTCAGACCTTCCTGTGAACATTAGAGGAAGTGTGTGTGTGTGTGTGTGTGCGTGTATGTCTCAAGACCTGTTTCCCTGTTTTCAGGTGCGAGGCTCTCCTCCCCGTGGCGTCTCCTTATATGGACGTTCCTGCTTCCGGACTGAGAGAATGTCTTCCCACAGATCCCACATTGGTGAGGCTTCTCCCCTGGGTCACACGCAATATCTAAAAGTCACTCACACCACACACACACACATCCATATTGCCGGGGGTGGGGAGGGGTTGTACTGACCAGAATGTACGAGCATGTGTTTTCTCAGACTGGAATACTCGGCAAAGGAGCGCCCACAACCATCTGCTTCACACACAAAAGGCTTCTCTCCTAAACACACACACGTTTATTTTCACAAATATGATCAAATCAACACCATCTTTTTTAATCAGAAAAAAAAAACCCAAAAAGTCGTGCGTGAAATTTAATGCTCCCAATTTCAAAGGCATTTTTACCAGCTGTGACTGCAATTCCACTGCGCCTCACCATGGTGCTAAAATGTGTGTGTCATAAACAATGGATAATGGCTGCTCTGTTAATCTGTCTCTGGCAAGAGGAGGGGACCGGCATACGCTGTTAAATAATCCGAAAATCACACCAAAGCCGCAGACGGGTCAAATCATCCCCGGTCTGTGAGGGTTTCGGTGCGTTTGCTCACCGGTGTGCACGCGTTTGTGGTTCTTTAGGTTTCCGGCCGTGGTGAACTTCTTTCCACAGTTGTTCTCCTTGCATACAAAAGGCTTGTCGCCGCTGTGCGTCCTCATGTGAACCTGAAGACGCTGCAGCACGTAGAAGCTCTTACCGCAGCCCTCCGCCACGCAGCGGAACATGCGGTCATTCCTGACAACAAACAATAACAAGGCCGAGAAGCCTGTGATCACGAGGGACGTTAAAATGCGACTTAAAATATGGCCTAGAATACATTTTTAAGATGAGGCCGTTTTTTTAGAACGGTCAAAACTCATGAAAGTGACTTTTTGTAAACCTTTTCAAACTCTTTCCAATGAAAGCCATGTTATCTCGGCCGTCACCTGTGTGTTTTGAGGTGATACTTGAGATGAGCAGGCCAGGTGAAGGTCCTGCAGCAGCCCTCAAAAGAGCAGCGGAGGATCTGCCTGGCGGCGAGGGGGCGCCCGGTCCGAGGCGGCGGGAGCGGCGCTTGCAGCGGCACCGTCTCCTCTCGCTTCTCGCCACCCGAGGGCGAGTCGTGCGTGAGGTGGCCTAGGCAACGGACAAGCCCGTCAGTCAGCCGATGCTTCATCCACTCAAGACCCGTATTCCTTGGTTCAAGCGGACTGCAATTTGATGAGTGCACCGGGGGCCAGTGTGACTCACCGTCAAGGATGTAAAATTGAGCGAGGTTGAGGACAAAACGTGATGCTTCGAAACCTTATATGGCTAAATATGGTCAGTCTCATCATATTTCTCACAAATAACTGGACCGGACCGACACAGAAACTGCAGCTACGATCTCGCTGTGCGGTTTCTATCATTTTTCAAGTACGACACGCGATCCAGGAACGTATGCTTGTGTGAAACGCTTACTGTGCATATTCTGATGACTTCCTGATCACTCGCTCTCATCTGAAACCTTCCCTGGCGACCTCTCGCTTCCTGGAAATCTTAATCTGTGCTTTCTATTATTGTTGGTGTTGTCATCTGCCCTCACGGGCGCAAAGTCAACGTCAACTGTGAGACTTCCAACTGGTTTGCTTTTGGGGGCTATCAGTCCATGAGCCGGGACAATCCAGCTGCTCGGAAACAGAAGCTGAGGCATGAGAGACTCTTGCCCCTCTATGCGGTGTCCTCAGCCCAAAAAGTTTGAGAACTGCCTGACCAAACAGTCAGTGCAAACACAACGAAGCTGGGAGCGCTTTTCTAACATCAAGAGGAGTTCAAAGATGAACCATAAGACCTTAGGGTGTCACTTAAATATTTATCTTCTGGGTCCTGATCTCAGCAACACACCCCAGGACACACAAGCATTTCTTACTCGAGATGAAGACGTGCCAAGCATGCGGACGGGCCGACAAATTGGTTGTGATCTTTACGCTTGCGATGAGAGGCGCTGAAAAGTGTTGAGTCGTCTCTGATTACGCTTCCCCCTTCATCTCAGCACTGACCTCATTCCGCTCAGCTCCGTCCTTTCAAGTAGTGTGTGTCCGAGTCAGCTTTTGCCTTCTAATTTTAGCTTTCACGGCTACCGTAACATAGAAACCGGCTCAATTGGATTGTTTTTGTGGCTTGTATCGACTGTCTAATTGGAGGCAATTGAGTGAACGATGAAGGGGATGAGATCAAGGGGCCTTTCCTGAGTTTTGTTTTTGTTTGCGAGTGAGAAAGTTGCAACGGGATGTGATCTTGAAGGAGGGAATGGATTCAATGAGTGACTGGAAGAATATTTTTACCAGCGTTAAAATTCGGAAACTTCCTGCTTCGTTGTAGATGATGTCCCAGTGAGTTGTGTTTATTGTTGCCAAAAGAAAGAAGCGGCAACGTTACCGTTGGTGACGTTGGCTGATCTGGCATCCTGACTGGCCTTGGCGTCCCGTGCCAGCTCCGCCCGCGTGGCTGCAATGAGGCTGTCGTGGGCCAGCTCCTGCACCCGTAGGTACCAGGGGGCGATGCCATCCAGACCATAGTCTCCCGTCGAGACGTCGTCCCCCGTTCCGTCCCCGGCAAAGATGAGGGACTCTGAGGAGGCCGTGATGCCTGGGACAATTTTTGACATTGAAACCAAATATGAATTGTCGCATGATAGCATTATTCCTTTAACACGACAAATTTATGGATTACGAGTTTTGAAAACTGTCAACTATAATAGTTTGATCTATTATCGTTCAAGTGAGTGTGAACATGGTAACAAACCTACTGCAGAATCTCAAAGTTATTTATTACACATGACAATTTGATTATTTCGGTGCATATTTTAGCATGGGTCATGCAAGTTGATACACATGACTTGTGCTCGCGGGCCACATAAAATGATGCAGCGGGACGGATTTGGCCCCCCGAGCCTTGAATGTGACACCCGTGCTTGAGACAAAGTAGGTCATGAAAACTTGAGTGTTGCGTACCTTTTGCCAGGTTCAGCAGAACGTAGGACGTGCCATCCGACTGCTGCAGGTCATGGAGGATGGGCGGCGGACTGGGTGAGGCCCGCGGGTGTGCCACATGCATCTGCTGCACTGCCAGCAGGCTCTGTTGTGAAACGCCCCCCAGCTCTGACAGTGATGCGGAACTCTCCGGTTGGGGGCTCAGCGTTCCGTCTGAACAGAAAAGGAGAGTTACATTTGCATCTAAATTATTTCACAAACATTGAATGCCTATGACCTTTGGTCCCTCATGCGGCACTGCACCAAAAACCGACATCAATGTGTTCAGGATACCCCCATGTGGGCGCAAGAAGATTTTAGAAAACCAACGTTCGCAAAACCACATCCGTAAGTGCAACTCAAAACTCTCAAATCAACCACACCCAGAAACGCCGCTGGCTTCTCAGGGCCCGAGCTTATCTAAGATGGTAATGCAAAGTGGAAAAGTATTCTGTGGTCTGGTGAGTCAACATTTCAAATTATTTTGAGAAATTGTGGACGTCGTGTCCTGGAGGACAAAGAAGTAAAGGACTGTTATCCATGCAAGGTTCAAAAGCCAGCATCTGCGATGGCATGGGGCTGCATCAGTGCCGAACATAAAACATCCTGTCTTTGTAGTGTATATAGGTGGAAGATGATTTGCATATTATTGTATTCTGCAGTGACGTAATTTTAAAGCATGATTTAAAACCTTTTCTCCAAATTAAGTCGTGTATGTGACCTGTGAGCTGCAGGTGGCCACACAGAGAGCTGCTGACAGGGGTCAGCAACGGCAGGCAGGGATGTTTGGACTCGGGGTCCTCCAGATCCTGGACCAGTGGGATGGACGCGTTCTGGACAAACTGCACCAGCAGCTGAGAAGAGGACACAATTGACATTTTCCAATAAAGGTGACGTCACACAAATGTGATTTTTGTTTTTCATAAACACATTGTGATTTTCCAATGTCAAGAATCACAGTCTCCATTACAGCAAATAAGCGACACTTCTTTCAATTATCATTCCCACAAAAGGATTATGAGGATCATTTGACAGAGGGAAAGACGGAGAAGCTGTGCTACTTGTTCAGCTAACATAATGTCAGACACAAAGAAATTATAAGACTCCAGGCTCTTGACAACATCAAAGTCATCCCAAGTGCATGCACTCTTGCTCACAATCAAGAAATTCAAGATGTGACAATTTGTAAACTTCATTGGTATCTGTACTTCCAACTAACGTTCCTATTTCATGTTTTCATTTGCATGTGCATGCCCTTAAACACGGCGACAGGAAATTATGCATTGTGGGTAAAGTGTACTGTATAATGCATTTCATACACACTATAATGTCATGGTTGCATACGGTTACCTCTGGTTTGGAATCGAGCTCATCGGAAAGCATGAGTCTCTCTCTGTGTTGTTGGGGGAAGAGCGGCCTCCTCTTCCCCGCGTGTTCGTTGAATTTCGGACGAGAAGAATGTTGGTTCTTCAAATAAAGGCTGGAGTCGATGAACAGTTCCTTCGAAGGGTTTAACTTATTTTCTGCAGTTTACGAATCGATTCGGGCTCCTGAGGGTTCCAGATTTCAGTCAGGAAGCGTAAAAGAAACACATCATTTATATAGAGACAATATGATAATAAAGGCGCGGAGGTACGCCTCTCATGCAAATCCCAGAAACAAAAAGTAACATGTCATCTGACCCGATGTGGCTGGAAGAAGTTGGGAGTGGTGAGGTGAGTCGAGACCACCACTACCCACCATTTGGTGTGATGGCAGGAACACAGATACTTGAGATAAAAGTTCCTCTTTTGATGTTAAACATGTCCTGTGGAGGGGGGCCCTAAAAGTGGTGGTGGTCGAGGGGCACAAAAGGTGATTGTAAACACAGTGAGCAGGAAATACCTTCAACAGCATTCTACATTGTTTAAGTGTCTGAACAAACACAACTAACAGAGAGGAATAACACCTTAACCATCAAATCTAACTAAGAAGAGAGGAATAATACAAGAGTATTCCAATTCTAGTAGATGATTGTTACAAGGAAGCCAAGCTACTCTGTGGGCATGGGAAGGTTATACAGCATGACTAAATATGAGCAGAATACAGACTTCAGTGTCACCTGTAAAGCAAACAGCAGAGACGATTAGAAGCGAACCTTTCTTCACGAATAAAGCGCACGAAATTGATCGCCGAACCTTCAGAACCTTAGAAGTGAGGTTCTGCGGTGGTCATAACAAGTTTGTGGTCATCTTGAAGTCGGAAACATGGCGCGCTTAGAAGTGAGGTTCTGCGGTGGTCATAAGTTTGTGGTCATCTTGAAGTCGGAAACATGGCGCCCCCAGCTGTAGCGACAAAACATAAACAGTCAGATAAAATGTCACCTAGCTTAAGAGTTGCTTATTTCGTTTGCAATTACATTACGACGAAGAGGCCACCAAACAGTAATAAGTGAAAAACATACCAAATGTTGGGTAACTGGTGTTGTGAGCCACGAGCTAACTAGCCACATACCAGCAGCTACCGACTCGCCAACGGTAAAATAACTTGGAACACCACTGGTTTAAGTAGTACATTAAAATAACACGAAAAGCCTGCTTCTGCAGCAGCTACCGACTCGCGAACGGTCAAAAAACTTGGGAACACCACCGGTTTGAGTAGTACATTAAAATAACACGAAAAGCCTGTTTCTCACCTCATAAAAGCATCGTTATGTTGAAACTGTGCCAGGACAGGCTGGTTTATTCCAACCGAACAAGAGTGTTAGCATAGTACTGCTATTTGGTAGGCTAGCAGCGCCATTCAAAATCGTCATAGATGGACTAATCAAAACGCCTCTTCCGCCTTCATCATCCACGATCACTGTCGCCATCTTGTGACCAAGGATGGACACGACAGGGTTGGTTTGCCTTTGGACTGAAAGCATTTATTACACAAGAAATGAGATGGAAAATACAAAAATGAGACACAATCTTTTAGACACAAATAAAAAAAGACCTTAAAAAAATCTATTCTATTCTACTCATGCTGATTTAATCATCAGATATTGACCAATTTTAAGCAGAAATAATTGTGTATGATGACAGGTCCTACTCAGATTTATATAGAGAAAGAGCGAGCGAGCGAGCACAGAGAGAACATGCAAACTCCATACAGGAAGGCCATAGCCAGAGCCTGGATCGAACCCTGCACCTCTGCACTGCAAGGCCGACGTGCTGACCAGTCAAACCAAAAGCTAGACTTGCATGATCTATGAAGCTGCGGGACTGAACACCGCACACGCACACAATCAATCCACTTATGCACACATACCCTTTTCTCACATTGACTCACGCTCACTCTCTCACAAATTTACTCACCTACTCTCACAGCAACATACACTCACACTCATCCTCATTCCCTCACTTGATAAGGAGCCGATAATGCACACCTGGCAGCTTAAAACCACTTTCTTTTAGTTTTCTGTCAAACAAATGCTTCAATTATCAGCCACAGGATCACAAAGCAAAGGGTAACATTACGAGCGTATGTTTTTGAGAAACATTGGCGACAGGTGGCCGAAAGTATGTCGAGAGACAATTACAAAAGCAGAAACTAAAACTGGACAGACAGATAGGACTACAAAGCACAATTACAAGCGGCTTAACGTGGTCTAACACCATTAAGAAGACTTGAGTACAACAGTTCAAGATCCACCAATGAGATTAAGCGTAATTATATGTTGGTGGAACCCAAACATCTCACATTAGACATCCTCAGTCACACTGGAAAATATACAGTACACAATCCCTCATTTTCATGAACCATTTCAAGTATTTTTTGGGGGTACTTAATACAGAGGGAACAAGATATTCATAGTGGTTCAGGGGCATATGATGATTAGAATTAGCTGCCATATTTTAGTCTGCACAGGATGATGCAAAGTGCTCAAATGCACCACAATCATAAATGTCGTTTTCCACTTTGAACATTTTCAAACATTGCCAGATCAATAGTGATGCCGACACGCAGGCCCACCGCCCCAAAAGGTCTACATCAAAGATGGCACAACATGAAGCACCCGGCTTCACTAACAGGAAGGCGGGATTGACAGGTGGTCGTTGCCATCGTCCCTTGCATGAAGTGTGAAATTAAAAGACACTTGAGGTACGCTGGCCAACTGCTTGACGGTCACATGATCAGTAACCGAAGGCCGCCTGCCAACATCTCGGCCAATCAAAAGTCAGCAAGTAAGGTGTGGCGGCCATCACACACCCCATCACGTCTTGCCAAAGTGAATTTGTGGTTAGTATATGCGCCTCACGGCGAGAGGATTCAGGGCTTGAAATCGTTGTTAACCGCCACCTTTTTTATTTGTTGACTCTTTCAAAGTACAGCGAACCAGCACATCATGGCGGTATTCTTGTGTTTAGGCCATAGGACAGTATTGCTTTGGCACCGATGGATGGCATCTTGGTATTTGTGACTAAATGGTTACGGGTTTCTTATGCATCAGTCCAAGTGATACAAAAGGAACGGCTGGATTTTCTATTAATATGTGACATGTCTTACAGTAAATGTCCGTTTGGTATTTGTGGGAGTAATGTAAGTGTGACTTTAACAAGAGTGCGGTGGATGTTGGGCCAACAAAATATCTCATTGCGTCTGGGCCTGGGGGCAGCTGGCAGCCAAAAATGTAGGCCAAACTGTGCAAGCGAGGGTTGGGGTGGATGTCTAATGTGGGCAAAATTACTCTCGCTCCATCCATCTGTCTGTCTGCCAACCCCCCACCACCACCCCCAAATAAGCCCTGGCCATGCACTTCCCAGCCGGTGGCCTAATCGTCCTTTAAGCTAGTGAGTGACGCCCGCTTCTTGTCCTCCTTTTCCTCCTCATGAAGGCTGGCGTGCAGCTTGACGCAGATGCCGGTGTCGCCGCTGCGCAGCGCCTGCAGGAAGAGATCAGTGTGCTCCCTGAGGCGCTCCAAGTCCGACTGCGTGCGGCGGTTCTGGCGCAGGAGCTCCTTGGTGCGCAGCGTGATGTCCAGGAGGCCCGATTTGCTCAGGATGTTGTACGTGTTGCAAAACCGCTTCCGCCTCATGTCGTCATTGTCCCACTTGTGTTCGGCCGACGAGGCACTGTCCAGAGGCGTCGGACTGCTCGCGCAGCTGGGAGGGAGGGAGGAGAAAGATGGGGATGATTCTGATTGGCTGACAGCCGGCGAAGGGGCCTCGCTGGCGATTTGAAGGAGCTGTGTCTGCGGCGGTTGCGTGTTGTTGGGGGTTCCGGAGAGAAACGAGGTCTCGCTCTGGCTCTTCTGCAGTTTCTCTTTTGGACCGTGATCCCGCTGAGACCCCGATGCCGAGGAAGTAGATAAAGAAGACGACAAAGAGGGGGAGGAAGAGGCGGTTCCCCTACCCAAGGAGGAATTGTCGCCAGGATGCGGCGCAATCTTAGGGTAGGACTTGAGAATGGGAAGATAATTCTTGGGGCGCCTGTGTCGAGAAGCCTCCTTGGAAGATTGGCGGGAGACAACGGGCTGCAGGAAGACCACCTGAGTCGGCTGGACCACAGGCTGAACCACCTCCATGGCGGGACTGAAGCTCCAGGGCTTCATGGCAGGGGGGTTGTCTCGAGGCTGCCGTGATAACATCGTTAATATCATTGTTATGGCTCCAAAGAACAATACCATGCATTTTACCATACATGTACCACAAATATGTTTTTTGGGGAGAGGGTTGGTCCAGATGAATTGCATTTCCATTCATTTTAATGGTTGATGTTGATTTGAGATGAGTGATTTGAGTTGCAAGCATGTTCACCAGACCAAATAAACACTGAAGTCAAGGCACCACTGTAATTGACTGTTGTGGCTTGAGCACACAGATTGATGTGCTGTGTGTTTGTGCAGTGCGCTTATACCTGTTTTAGGAGCATATTGTTCATGATGATCATGGGGGACATACTGGAGTAGGACCCCCCTACCACAGCCAGCTGCCCAGAAGTAGAACTCTGGGCGCCCTGCTGCACGGAAGGCCGCGGCGAGTCCTCAGAGTCGGTGTTGTCCACGGTGCTCGTGTGCTCCGAGCTCGCATCTGAAGAGGATGATAAAAAAAAAAAAAAAAAAAAGAAGAGGACGTGCCATTGGTTGGATGCTCATTAAAAACACACGTGAAGGCTGGTAAAAGTTGAGAGCAGAACCTGAGAATCCGGAGTCCCTTTCCGAGTCGGCTCGGGAATTGTTGTGAGACTTCATGATGTGCAGCCTGTTGGCGGCCCGTGAGTCGCTTTCCGCCTTCCGCTTGGCACTCATCTCCTCGCTTTCCGGTTGCTATGGACAAGATGGCCTACCAGCAACTATATCAGCATAACAGAGGGCAAATATGGAAATCAACAGACAAGATCAGGAAACGCCTTTCACTCTGAAGACCTTATAAGCCGAATATGAATGGCTGTAAATTTTGTCTTGCAACAGGGAGAGATGCAAAACATGCAGGATAACGGCCCTCCAGGACTGGAATTGCCCACCCTGCTCTAGAACATCGATGCTTGCCAAACAGACCACCGCCATTCCTCATGGGAGGGCGGCCCCTCAGCGAAGTTGATTATCCATTTTTCAGAGCATAATGTACAGTCCGCTAGCAAAGTGCTGTCATCTATGTTCACCTTAATGTATCCCCACATGGCTGACATTGGCTCCTACTCCACCTGCTTGGAAGGTATATATCAGGCTGGTGAACTATCTGTGTTGTTGGATTGGAGCATTTTTGTTTCATGAACGATATAGACGCACAGTATCGTCACTGCTATCTGTGCATCCATACTGTACAATAAACCCTGATCACGTTATAGATTTTTCTACAGAACAAACTACTCGTTGAAGACTGCACTTGTGCGTGCCTACTGCCTATCCACATATTTTCGTCTGGTTGTTCTGTAACACTGTAAGATACATCCCAACACACTTCATTACTTAATAGCCTATACTGAGCTGACTTTGCAAGAGCCAAACGTAGGGCAGGTATGGACAAGCAACCATTCACACCAAAGGACAATTTAGAATCTTCAGTGAACATAATACAATCTTGGCATAGAAGAGGAAGTCTGAGTACCTGCAGAAAACCCACACAGGCACGGGGAGAACATGCAAACTGCACACAGGTAGGCTGGAATCCAAATTCGAAAATCCAACGTCAGAAGGTGAAGTCAGGAACCACTTGACCACGGTGTTGCCTGTAAGGTAAGCATGTTATGTTGCTTCAGTGTTTTTTTTTGGGGGGGGGGGGGTTGGGGTATCTCTACAGTTTAAACAATATATGAAATCGTATTATTCGTTTTGTGGGGGCGGCGTGGTTCTCTGATTTTCTGATATAACAGCCCCTTTGTATCAAGTTAAAACCGGGGTCTTCTGAGACATTTTTGTCTGGATCACTGTTCGCCCTAAAAGTTTTTGGATTGGCAGTGACAGTGTCAGACAAAATAATGAATTTGCTACTTTATTGATCCACCTATCATCTCCTCGACCTTCCGCGTACACAGAAAATATATGAAAACTCCACAAGTTGTCCTCTGAAAGCCGCACATCGCAGTGTAAATGATAAACTCTGCACAGACTACTTGTTCAAGGCAAGTGTTCAAGTGTTCAGAGTAGGACACAAATCCGTTAGTCGGAAAATATATCACACATTTTAAAGGCCGCGTAAGCTAGTATGTGTTTACAAAATGCTTTGAGGCGACACAATACATCACAAACAACTCGAACATTAGCATTTTGTTAGCTACGCGCTAATTTAACGACGCATCCACAGCTAACCTTTAGCCTTGACTGTGAAGAGAAACATACAAACAAACCAAAAAAAAACAACGAATGTTAAAATACAAAAAAACTTACTTCCCTGCTTTGGTCTAACGACGGTGAGAGTAAGGACACGAGCAGGAGGAGGGTGGAAAGTGTAGTGTATCCCGTAGAGGTAGCTTGCTCTTCGGGTGGATGCTCTCTTGGTCTGTGGACTGTGGCTGGTGGGCACCACTCGCGGCTTTCCACGGTACAGTACACGAGACAGGGTGGCTCCTCCTTCCGCCTGTCAGTCACATGCGAAGCAAGGTGGCACCAACCTCAGACAGACGCCATAAACTATCATTTAATGTCCCTCCAATGGAATAAAACATCTACATGTGTTTGCGTGGTTGTATTCTATCGCTACAAGACTGTGAGAACGACGCCAAACAGGAAATAAGTGCCGGAGACGTTGCCATATTTAGAAAAAGAGGACGCAGCTTGTCTGGAGTTTTACTGACGTCAGCAACATCCCCGCCCACACCGTCGCGTTCCGACCTCCTGATTGGCCAGCTTGGCCAGCAGCTGAAAAACGTGACTGCAACCCAATGTGAGGCAGACGAAGTACACGGTGTTCAGGAGGCGTACGGTACTGCACAGACGCAAAACACAAGCATATCTCATGTACCATCGGGGAATCCACTGACGTGAGCCCGTAATATTGTGGTGTATTACATAATAGCCTTGCTTGTCTCGCAACTAACTTGATCTCCTATTCTCTGGATAGGGTGGCGTCATAAAACGCAAATCTGCTCTCTGGCGGGAGACAAAAAGTCCTCACATGCTGAAATTGCGGCAGTTACACGAGAAGGGATAGACAATGATTAACATACCAAGTATAAATCATAATAAATCTAATTAATTCACGTCACACTTTTTTGGGGGGCAATAATATGCCCTTTTATAATACATGTTAGAAACCTGCATTCTATTGTCGTTTCTCCATGTTTGTGTTTTGTTGTACATAAGTATGATGCAAGGAAGCCCAACCAGCAATTTATTTCCTGGTTTTCTGTATCAAGATGTCCCTCGACATTTGCGGTCTCATGGTATTGCAGAATTTTGCTGTAGTCTGTGATCCTATTTCTACATGCACTGATGTTACTCGTCATTCATGTAACATTTAACACAAGACAAAAGTGCATAAAAGACAAAAAGTGTCATGTTTCTGCCTCACTGGGATGCCGTGTGCGCATAGATTGTTGTTCGTCTGTTTTCACCCAGCGATAGGATGTCAACCAGTTCAGGGTGGTGGCACAAACACATTTTTCTACCGTAACATTTGTGAATCAAAGACCATATTTTCTTGCTCGTTGGGTTAGCTGAGTGACTGAAAACACAAACATGTGTATGTGCAGGAGACCTTTATTTGAAGACTTTGACAGACACCATCTGTGCCAATATTAAATAAATATAACCTTCTTTCACCCCTGTTAAAACAGTAAAGCGTCATGCTTTTTTTAACACGGTGTCATTTTGGTTGGACCAGAAATACGAAGCAGATGTGTACCTTAACACATGAGCAGGATGAAACTGTTACAAGATGCTTGGGTTGCGGTTCTACAAGGGAGGACAATGTTGCAGCAGCGTATGTGTTCTACTTCTCTGTGGAGAAGGCTCGTTTCATGAGCGGAGGCGGCGTCTTGCCGGCTTCGTACAACGACTCGGGCAGCGGCGTGCTCAGGCAGCACCAGTCTGGTATGCGGCCCGTCTGGTTGTAGTAATCACGGGACACTGACCTGCTCCCCAAGATGTCCTGTAGTGCACCAAAGATGGCGCCTAGTGGAAATTTACCAAGGTTAAAATAAGATTTTCTCCTTTTTTTTTTCTTCAAAGAGTGAGTCAACATAAGAGTTTCACACCTCCGACCCAGGCGGTGCAGTTGGGCTTGGCGGGCGGCAAGTGCATGCGGAAGTTCTTGCTGGCCAGCACGTCGCGGTACTTGGGTTTCTCCACCAGCAGGCGAATCTCGGCCAGCAGCCGGTGTAGGAAGCCTGGCAGCATGGCCGTGCCACCGATCACCACCAGGTTCTCCGACAGCACTTTGCGTGTGTCAATGGGGCACTAAAATAACACAAGATGAAATTATACTGCGACCACCCAGAGGAAAATGTGTGTGTGTGTGTGGGGGGGGAAGGTTTCCCCATCATTTCATAGGTATAAAAATACATAAGTATAACATAGTAAGTTACTTGTGCAAAAATAAGTACGGAACTGAACAACAGCAAAAGAACAAAACATAGTTATAGAAATAATCAACATAAGATAGATTATACATTGCTTGCTTCCAAATACCTGATCATTTATATTTAAACTTATCTATTCCGACCTCTCTCTGTGTACCTTAACCAGGGCGTCAAGTATCAGTGAGGCCACGCTCTTCTCTTCGTTATCCTGCTCAAACATAATCTCCATCAGAGAGTCCCTGCAAAGAAAGTGGACAGAGTGAGGTTCCCCACATTACAAAAAAGATAGCATGTCAACAGAGCTTCAGCGCTGCATCTCAGTTTAAATCCTGCCATTGTACATATAGATACGACGACGACTAACCCAAAGTGGTTGGAGTGAAATTCCAGAGACCGGAAAAGTTAGCATGTTGCCACGGCTAAATCTGCACAATTCATTGGAAATATTCTGTGCATATAGTTCCAAGAAAGATCGGTAGAAAGTGAATGGCCGCGGGGTTCAGGATGCTGACAAAGTCAGCAGGTCTGATACTGTTTTCACCTGATTGATCCTTTGATATGCAGGATTTTCTCGCCATCCAGAGGATAGTCAACATCTGGTGGTGGAGCCGGACGCTACAAACACAAAGAGAAGACAACAATGTCCTCAAGGCACAGTGAATTAGTTGTGTCCTTGACATGTTCTCACATCTTCCTCACCTCGGCGGAACCATCCATGTTGAACTTGGCCGCCTGGAGCTTGAGGCCTCTCTGTAAGTCGCTGACAAAACATGTCCTCACTGTGTGAAAACAAGACTGTTGTATAAGAAAACTGCATTGGTAAGAGTGGAATTGGAGATTGTTGTTCTGACCCACCTTTTATGTCTTCCACTGTCTCTTCTGGAATAGTGCCTTAGCGGGAAAAGGGACGGGAATGACAGTACTGGATAAATATATGCTCCTAAGATTCAACATGCCTTGACGACTTCAGGGATAGTGAAGTTATAGTTTTATAAAATGGAAAATAACACTATAAAATTGTACTTTACATGTCATTGTTCTTTATAAAAGCAAAGCAGTTTTCCCCCACCCTCGGTTAATTTTGTCTCAAAGGCACAGGGTGAAAAATAAAACAGTTTTTAATACCAATGATGGAGGGTACACTTTCCCCAGTGCTGGTGTCTGTGTCCACGGTGCACTGTTCCACAAGAAGAACATCTAATTCCCTAAAATAAACACACAAACACACACAAAATCGCCATTAAGTCAATTATCTTATAAATGTGTGTGTGTGTGTGTGTCTGTGTGTCTGTGTGTCTGATACAGTCCAAATAAAGCTACTCACTTGTGAATGGCTTTTCCGCCCAAAGGCAATGCCTCCCAAGCCGGCAGAATCGGAGTGCACTCATACACCTGATAGTGGAGTTAAGACATTTGCGTATAATTAAGTCCCAAACATCAGAAATCTGTGTTCCAAAAAAAAGATCTGTCCCTGGTTTGCATGAAAGGATACAGGCAGCACCAGCGTCTCAGTGTGGCCACAGTCCATCACGAGGGCCGAGTTGATGCCTAATGTCATGATGGCCATGAGGTGACTCGGTGCAAACAGCACAGAGGGCACCTAGTCGATAAATAAATATGTACTGTAAATAGCCCACATTAAAATTTGAGAAAAGCTGACTGTTGTTGCAAGGTGTGTTGTCGCAGGTATTATTTTCAATCATGTTGTACCTCAAACTGTTTGAAGAAAACCTTGGTGAGTGTCTCTCTGAAGTGAGATGGGCAGAGGATGGACTCGATAATGACCACCCTTCTGTCGCGAGGGTTCACCAGCAGATGTCTGATGATTGGAAATATTTACAAAAAGTTTCAGATGGTCAACTTATTTTTTTTAAACTCAATATCAAAGAGCATACAGTACAATACCTGAAGTACAGAGTGTGGATAAACTCTTTTAGGATGACATAGAGCTCTTCTGTGTTTATATTGTACTGAACCACTTTGGTTGCCTGAAAGAGAAATAATGCAACAAACCATGAGACTTCAGCTGAGTGGGCATCTATTAAACACGATACAAGATGGATAAATAGAAAAAAGATTTTCTTCTGACTTGCTGCTGTCCCCGCTTGCGGATCTCGCTCGGAATGATGAACCTGGGCCCCGTTTCCCCTGCAAAGCCACATCTGGAATTGGGGAAAAAAAACACAAAATAACGTCACTGACAACATTCTGTTCAGCAAAAATAAGCAGCCGTCGAATTAAGTTGTCGAATAAAGATGTCTTTGTCATCTGCTTCATGTGATTTGCCTGAAGCGAGACTGTTATGCTTGATTTAAGTCAGCGTTGCCCAAATAATAAAAGCAACCAACACATTTTCAATAAGACATTGGTATTAGGTTAGAGGGCAACTTTTTGGGTTAGATAGCTTCCAAATAACCGAGTGCTTAATAAAACTCTGAAGGGAGATTGAAATGAAGAAATTATCTTTGTGAAGACAGGGAGCAGTTAAAGTTAGATTAATCCGATTTGAGACGTCTGCCTCTAATGGCTTTTTTCCAAAATGTCTTCATTTACTTTGCAACAACGTACTAAGAACTTTCCTGGGCACACCGGTACAACGACAGACTACAAATGAGAATTCTGCATAGCACATACATTAAGAATTACCACATTAAAATAAATGAGAATGATGATATTCCTCCTTAATTTACAGCATCTTAATCGGTTTAGCTCCACTGACAGGTTATCAGAGACTTGTTGGCATCATTTAGTGTCATGACTGCTTTCCATAGCAGTGAAAAGATAGATTATTGTTCAATGTAGCGGACAAAGCCCCCAACATTTAGCACTTAGGCGTTGTGTCAGCTAGCCGAATGCTAACGATTAACACTCACTTTGTGTACGCCGCTCCCAGATCAATAACGATGGCGGTTTTTTCTGCTCCACTGCCCAGACCATCAAATAATGGCATTTTAACTTTTTCAATTTCAATATAGTCGCTTCAGTTGGCGTCGATTTTTCTTCGCATTATTTCTGGGATGGGCCTGACAAGTGCGATGACGTCACTAAACATGCCTGATAAAAATGCGACAAAACAGGAAAAAATATTTCGTTGCCGGCTTTCAAAATATCAATACGCATTTATATTTGCGCGAAGATTTTTTTTTCAATTGTAAAACATAAATGTGGCCATTACAATTTAAGATTGATTTACGCAAACGAAAGCTATTTCCCGTCATTGTGATTTAATTTGATCACATATTAGTAATATTACAGTGTAAACATATTATATTACTTTAAATATGCAAATATATTTGGACATTCAGGAGATCCACTTGTTACTGGTCCAAGACTTCAAGCAAAGGTGCCTGTTCAAAAATGCAAAATAGCCATCGAAGACTATTGAATTGTTTTCAGGATTTATTGTATTCGCACGATGGTTAATGTTTAATGCACATTACTGGATAATTCCGCGTAAATTTGACGGGGGTGAGGTCACATTTTTATTATTTTCTTGTTTATTGATTGGCGATTGGGAAACAACCACACTAAGTACCGCCACCTACTGGACTGCACGGCACACCCAGGGTAAACGCATTGGGGTGAAATGGATACCAATAAATAAATTACACCACACTCTTAACATTATATAATGGCTTGATTTCAGATCGTAAGGTTGCATTTAAGATCATTTACAGCCAAAAAGGCGGGGTAACTGGCAGTTTCCATCATTTGGGGGCTAACTGACGGCGTCACTCACTGGTAGGCGCACTTGAGGAGAACACCGAACCTCCTCTCTCTCTCCATCCATCAGTACACGAACCCCACATTCCCGTCTCACTCTTGACAATCTCTTCGATCCATCATGCACTCTGGAAGGTAAATGCATTCGCTTTTTGTCATTGTTGTTCTCCAGATACCCCAAAATGCACATGGATTTACACTTAACGTGTGAAATGCGATTGGATTGGATCCGTAACGCAGTGTGGAGTGAGTGGTTTACGCTGCATATTTGGAGCCGTCAGTCGAGGAAGGGGGGCTGTTTTGTTGTTGTTGACATGTTTGAGCATTTCTGGCAACGCCTACAGTGACTTAGCTCCGATTTGGTAACCATGACACAGCGTATCGAAGAGGTTTTTTTTTTCCAATATTAAAAAAATAAAATAAAATCCCACTTGCACGCGTTAGGTTGCTTTAAAACATTTTACATTCATTTATCCTTGCAAAAGGGGAGAACGGGTGCTTTTTTTAGGTACCTTAAATTCCTTCTGTTGGTCCTAAGAGATTGAAAGGAAATTATATCATTTCAAAACGTGCCTGTTTAGATTTTGTGATGTCACATAACACACACACTGTTATTTCATGTCAAATGTTCTATAAAGTGCTCTGTTACAGCTGCAGGTCTTATAAAGATGTATTGTATTGTAATCAATTGATTTAAACGCAATTTGTTTTGGTTTTTAATTCAGTGATTGTTTGATGTGCCACTAGAGGGAGCCAACGAACCAACAGTGGTATTCGTAAAACAGATTTGAAATCACTCGTTGTATTATCATCTGGATAAATGATCCTGTGCTTCTTAATGTGCAGCCACTGAGAGCAGACAGATGTTGCCGTGTGAAATGCTCTTTCGCCTCCTCCTGGTCGGAGTTTGCCTGTGCGTATTTGGAAATACGGTCCAGGATATCCAGAAGGAAAATGAACACTCACTCGGAGGGAGATCCTTGAGGATTGTGGGGCCAACCAAGGACAGTCTTGATGCAGAATCCAAGCCCGGAGCGCGAAAGAAGTTCCGGAGGATGTTTGACAGAGAGAACATCTACAAAGCTGTCCTGAAAAGGACACTGAGAGACACATTGGGTGACATCAATGTCATGCTGCATGAAGAAGCAAGGAGGTCTTCCTCCACCAGAGCTCCAAATCCATCCAGTCCCATCCCCACGCCTGTCTCTCTCACCACTCAGACCTTCACACTGTTGTCCACGTGGGAACGTCAAGGTCCAGTCATGCCCACGTCACCGGAACTCTTCTTTCCCGACATAGGTGAGGACTCCATGCTCAAAGAGGACAGCGCGGAGGGCCTGTGGACGGAGGCTCCCAGACCCAGCGGAGGCAAGTGTAGCTTTGTTATACAGTGGATGACTCATTTTAATTTTGCAATGAAAGTCTTATATATATTATTAGAGTAAATATGTTTTGGCATCGCATTGCTCTTGAGAGCAGACACGGCACCGCCGCCATCCCAAGACGACACCACAGAGGGTACCATGTCTTCCGAGTCTCTGCCTCTCATCTTTGAGCCACTGGAAGAATCCGCAACTCAGCTTCCGGCTGCCGTCATGGCAACAGCAGTGACGCCGCTGTCAGGGACAGACTCGGAGCGAGTGGTTGCCACGGAGACAGACAAGCCACCATGCACAGGGTCCCTGATGACGGCTGATGGCCAGCTGCTGGATACCAGCAACCAATCAGGTCAGAGCCTCCAAAATGGCTGCTTCAAACAAAAATGTCTGATTTCCTCTTTGGAGATGGCAGAGTCAGAATCGGTGCAAAAGATTCAACTCAAAAAGTTCACTTGCATCTCTGAATTAAAAAAAATGTTGATCAGTGTAATCTAATTGTGATTTTCCCCTCCCTCAATATCGCAATTGCAAATTGCTATGCGGTTGTGACTTAAAAAATAAACCGCGCCCAGGTGTATCAAACATCCACAATTTTCATCTGCACTCCCACGCCTCCTATATTTTATGACATATAGGATCTGTGCAGATGTCAGAACTCACAGATACTGTGCAAACTTCTACTCTAGATACCATGGCAACTTATCTACCTGTGCCCAAACCCCAGTCAGATTTAGAGGAGATGAACTCTGAGGGTAAATCGCAAAGATGGTAAACTTTTAAGAGCATGGCTTTACATTTTTTACTCATTGAAAAGTGACTTAACTTGCTTGTGTTTCAGATGATCCGGATGAGGGTGAGAGTTCAGAGCAATTGATGGAGGACGAGGGCAGCGAAGAGGACCCGACTGAGACAGCCCAAACTCAGCCTCCGTACAGCCTCATCCCACCACCTTCTGTCTGGGTGCAACACAACCAGGGCCTGAGTATGAAACAGCATCGGCGCTTTGGGAGGGGATGACATTTTTGTTCGTGTCAAGACTTTTGAAAGTTGAATGTTTCAAGTTATCACACTATTTTCGCAGTCAAAAAGATTTAAAGTAAAACTGCATTTTATTTCGATGAATTAAAAATTGTGGAAAATGTTTATTTTGAAAAAGGTGAAAGTTACAAGACAGTTTATAGATAAATTTTTGAATGCTATAGCATTTTTTCCCATAAAAAAATGTTACAAGATATACTTAAAAATGTAGCACACAATTTCCTTTTTAGAACGTTTGGATGTGACAAGACATCATACAATTTTTTTTTTCCGGTTTAGATTACTATAATACATTTTTAATAGAAAAAAATTGAATGTCACTAAAGACCACAGTGCAAGAAACGCAAAATGTATGTGAAATTGTGAACTTGCCTTCCAAAACTACCTGAACGGTACTTGAATGCCAAGTTGAACTCGAAGCACATCATTTACGTTGACCCTTTCTTGCAGTGCACAGCTGGGTGGCGCTGATCCGAGAAAAGGTGAGACTAACCCCCTAACCGGCCTCATCTGTCACTGCTTTTTTTTTTTTTTTTTTTTTGCACAAGGTATTGTGTTTTCCCCACGGGGCAGGTAGGCTACGTTTCGGGCATGTTAGCCCCGGTGGGCATTGGCATGGCGGGAGCCCTTCTGCTCGTGGGCGCCCTCTACAGCATGAGGCGGATCCAGCAAAGGAGGCGGAACAGCTTTAAACGCCAGCGCAGGAAGGTCCGGCCCGCCGAGGTCAGTATGCAAATATAATTTACCTTTGCTATCATGGTAGCGGTTGTTTGTTAACAAGATTATGCAAAAAACTTCAATATTGTCAATTAGATTTTTTTTAAGCGTATACACGTGTATAATTGCCTCCCTTAGCCCACATGCCAAAAATGTATTTCTTTGTATCATCCTGTTACCAATCAACAATCTAATTACATCTGTGTCTTTTGGAAGAGGTAATGACGAACCCCTACGAATTCTGTTGCCCGTAGCAACCAGGGGAGACATGCGCCGGCCGACAGGATCAGGCCATGCTGCTGGCAGACAGCTCCGAGGATGAGTTCTGATCCGAAAGACCGAGCCAATCAAGGTCGCCATGACAACAGCATCCATATACCATCGCCTCAGACAGCTTTATATCCCCAGACAACCTCACGTGGCAACTCTATTCCATGTTTAAAAATGGCTGTGTGGCCACATGACACACATTTCACATAAAAGAAAAGAGAATCAATGAAAATGTACACAAAGTAAATACAGTATCGTGCCTGTAAATGTATTAGTGTAAATACAAATGTATTCACCCGGACTTAAAAGAGTAGGGCAACAAGAAAGCAAAAATATGGCACTGATTAGATGCTAATGATGCCAATTATGTTGTTAGCCCAGCACTGTTCAAATACAGTAGTGGGTTGCAGTTTGGGAAAATTCTTGGATTTTGATGCTTGACACATGGCTACTTTAAGCTGCATTAAAAAAAATGTTAACGACATTTCAAAACACTGCCTGGTTACGATTGTTACCTTTTGAACACGTTTTCCTTTGTATTAGGTTTGCTTTGTTGTTAACAGGGCTAGCTTATCAAACCGAGGTGGTATCTAAATTTAAAATATTTCTTTTCAGCTTTTCAACAGTAAATGTTTCAAATGTAGCATAAAACACTGGACTACCCCAGTTGTTCTCTCTAGTGTTATTGTTGGTGACCAGGTGTGACAGTTTTTTTTTTCCAGACAGATTATCATTTTGCAATTTTGAATTCCAGTCTCATAATAATTTGGGAGACATTTTGTTTTCACCTGCAAGATCTTTCAGTCCATACTCATGGAACACATCATTAGGTACACCCACACATCTATCATGAATCTAATGAGATGCATTATTTGAGCTGACGTTCTTGGATCTGATTTGATTGTTGTATTTTTCATATATTCATTGTTGAACCGTATGTGTTCATGCAATAATACTATGCTAAGGTATAAAACATGTTTTGCCTTATGTGGTTTTTTTTTTCCAAATTAAAAGAATTTCCGAATATCAAATGGGAGTGCGACTCATGTGCAAAAACAACTTAGACCACTCCGGTGTACAGCAATTAAAAAAAGAAAAAAGAAAAAAAAATCAAATAATTTATTCCTGTGTTCTTTTTGTTTTGTTTTCTCTCGCTCTCTCTCTTCTACACATTAAATAAAAGCTATCAGACATTTTCCATAACCAAATCAATGGAGGCAAGGAGGATGCTGAGGAAGAAGGGGGGGGGGGTAAAACAAGTCTGACATGCAGAGAAACAACAGCAAATTGCCTCTTTTCCAATACAGAGAGAATGGCGGAAGATGTTTTGAATGGTCCATTAGATGGCACCAGTGAGGACATATGACTTCCAAGAAGGTGGGTGGCTCATCATTTTTTTTTTCCTCAAACGACAAAGACGACAAAGCCCTTCAGTCAGATGCGCTCAGGCTCTAATGCCCTTTAAATCAAAAGACGACGGCACTGCCTGGTTCACAGCATTATGACAAAAAATGTCAGGGAATAGTCGCACACATAAACGGATTCCAGCTTTTCATCCATTGACGTACAGGAGACGGTTCAAATAGCCCCGTCGCCGTGGCAACATATCCAGAAGGGCAGAAGTAAACATCCAGTCTGAGAAAAAAAACTAAGCTTGGAAAAAAAAAAGTCAACACTGTCCCGCATAGTCACACACACACACAAAAAAAACAACCGCACACAGAGGATCAATTGCGTACGAAAAAATCGGCATTAAGTCCCCCCCCCCTATTGTTCTGACGTCAAATGTGACTTTTGGCAGCATATCGGCGTGACAAAAGCACGCAGGCAGAAGACTATGCATAAGATGAATTCCAAGTTTCCAACATCGACAGAAGGAAAAGAGTCAAACAGTTAAGAACAAATGTGTAATTCAGAAGATTCGGCGTTGTGTCAAGAGAAAAAAATGTTGCACTGTAGCCAGAGTGATGTCTGAATGGCCTTAAAAAAACAATTGAGAAAGTCGCATAGTTATATTAACAGAATTTCCAATTTTACTTACGCTTGTTGCACCGTAGCCAGAGTGATGTCTGTGAATGGCCTTAAAAAAACAATTGAGAAAGTCGCAGTTATATTAACAGAATTTCCAATTTTACTTACGCTCTAGAACTTTTTAACTCCTGGCATTATACATTTCAGATGAAAACTGCATTCAAATGGAAAATAACAGTGTAACGCAGTTGTAAAATTATGAAGTTGTAGCGCTTGTCGTGCAGTAACAACAAAAAAAACTACAAAAACGAGTCAATTTAACGTGCTCGTTTTCTGTAACGTCCCACCTTCATTTTCATGAAATTTCAATTCATTTCCTCCGAACAATGTGACATTTCATATAAAATTAGGACTGACTGAACAAAGAAATGTGAAAATGTTGAATCGTTGGAACAGAATTATTACGAGAAATAATTTAGCAGAAGGAACAATGTTTTTAAAAGGCCAAATTGAAAAGGAGTTTGGGGGTGGGGGAGTTATGATAAAGTCGTAATGTTTCAAGAATGCTGAAAATGTTTTTTTCCCGGTGAAAGGATTGTAATAATAATGTAACGTAGACAATTTATTCTAGCTGCAGCTGTTGTGGAAGCGCTAAATAAAGCTGTATTGTGAATTATTTTGACGTTTGTCATTTGAATTTGTCAAAATTGCGCCAAATTGTGCAAAAGTCATTAATTTCCAAAGTTGCACCATTACGAGTAGACAATTCTAAAGTCTACAAAATGTTATGAGTACGTTTTGTAATTTGAGGAATCCAGACCGCTTCCTCCTGACAAATATTGCAGCTTTTCCCCAAAATTATAATCATTTTTAAATTGCACCAAATGTTTGAAAAAGTGCATGGTTCCTAAAAAAAAAGTATAGAATACATTTGTAATATAATTTGTAAATGTCATGCTCTTTCTTTTGCTTAGTTATTTTTGTAATTATGACTTCACTTTTTTGCAGTGCAGCCCTAAATTGCGATTTAAAAAAAATGATGATTAATGAAAACTAAATAAATGTGTCCACCCAGTGAGCGGAAACATTAACGAAAAGAATTGTGTCTGTGTGTGTGTGTGTGGGAGGGGGGGGGGGTTGGGGTCAACAACGAAATGAATCCAGGGAGAAGTCAAAATAGGACAAGTGCATCTGACATTTGTTCTTTTTCAAAGAAAACCACAAAACAAAACAACGACGCTTGCTATAAGTGTGTGGTTTCCAATTTTTTTTGGGATAAACTTACGAAAAACACCGCGAACAAGCTTGTTGACGGCAACGCCGTCGCCAGGCCAAAAGCGAAACCGTCACGTTACCCCCGCCAGGAACGTTATGTGATATGTGTTTGTGAGATGGAATTCTTAATACTGACTAAAATGACTCTCTGAACATTTTAAGCAGCGCTCGGGACGCGCGTTGCATATTTGGATACAAATCGAGGAATTTTCTAAAGACATTTTCATTTCATTTTCTGTAATTTCTCAGCTAATAATGCATACATTTTGATGACAAATCAGCAGGGGTGTAGTGGGCGTGGTACGCGGGGGTACGCCGTCCACTCACTTCTCCTGAGCCACATTCAATTTTTATTGAAATGTTTGTTGATCATTGTTTTAATGCGAGTTATGCTTAATAACGTTTGCCTGTGAGTATTTTGGAGTAGTAAAACATTAAATTTAACCTTAGTTCAACTGGTGTTGTAGCCTATGATTGATGTTCTCTATGTATATAGAGAACATCCCAGAATCGCGTACACCCACTTAAAAAATCCCCACTTCACCACTGCAAATCAGCGTATTGGCTATACCTGTTCATTCAATGTTTACTCTACATTTCCTTGGCAGAAATTAAACTATTGCATGCCTTTCTTGTTGGCCTTATCCCTTGGGGGTTATGAAGGAGCTGGCAGTGCATTTGAACGTTGGTGAGGCAGCGGGTATTTTGTCAGAAAATCCACGAAAAAGGGTTTTACTTATTTGGGCTTCACTGGATTTTTACGAACAAGGACAATAAAAAAATTAAGGAAAAACAAAAAGTTGATGTGATATTTGAGGTGCTTATGGAGTGATTTGGAACACGCACACACAAAGTAAGTCTTGACACACGCTTCAGTATTTGAGGTGTGTGCGGTAGATACAGCACCACCAAGTGGACAAAAGGGGAACTGATAAACACGGGGCGCTCTCACGCACGCGCACGCACGTAGGCAAGTCAATCTTGCACGCACACGCGCGCACACACACAGGTATGCAGTCATGACTCCTCCAAGGATTTTAAAAAAGAAACAAAAATAAACTCCAACATTAAGTTTGGGGGTCTTTTAGGCCCCTTGCTTACTTGTTTTTCATCCGTCCACGTGTCCTTGCCCAAAGTCTGAAGGTCAAAAATTGTCATCAAGGTCAGAGACCCGCCACCCCCTCCCCACACTCCATCTTTTTTCATGACAGGAGAAAGAGAGGCCTTCATGGAAACATCTGGAGGGCAAGAAAACGTGTGTGTGTGTGTGTGTGTGTGTGTGTGTGTGTGTATGTGTGTGTGTGGATGCACGCATACGTGCATATTGTTGGTTGTATGCGTGTGTGTCTGTATGTCAAATGTGAAATGAGGCAGGCAGGCTCGACAGCTTGCTCCCCCCCTCTCCGTCCCTCCCCAGTTCCGTTCTCCAGCTAAGACCCCCTCAGCGTAGCCACAGTTTGAGCCTCAGAGCGTCCACACCGTTCAGGTAGTACCTGAAGAGCCGCTTGTCCCGCACAAAGCCTAAATTCTCATACAGCTTCAACGCCGACTTGTTGGTGATCTCTGTCTCCAAGACCACCTGGAGAGGGAGAAACCGGGGGGAAGTTAAAAAAGAACATTTTGCAAGTAGAAGAACAAATGAATGGGGTTGATTTTTTTGGAGAGCGTGCTTACCTCGTCGCAGTCACCCTCCACCATGGCGTAGATGGCCTTCTTCACCAGATTAGTACCTGACAACACAAGATGCACTTACTGGTTTATGTTTATTCCACGCTTCTTTGGTAGACTTTTGTGAAATTGTCGCAGTGAATGCTTCAAAGACTGCAGGCCAAACTCTCCATGAAGTAGATAAATTAGCCGTTATTCATATTAAAAGGTCACTGGAGTGCACTTATATAGCACTGTTATCGACACCACATGGAATCTGCCAACATTTTGACTTGTACGAGCTTTCTCGTCGCCATAGGCCAGGGGTGCCAAATTCATTCTTGTCGCGGGTTACTTTGGAGTTCCGTCTTCCCTCAGAGGACCATTACGACAGTGAAACTGAATACATGTTTGTCACATTGTATTATGACTTGCAGCACAGGTAGCGTGTTAACACCAAAGTACATATTTAAATTAGTAACAGGACCTGATCGTGATCCAAGGATTTCCTGTATGTATTAATAAGCGAAACAAAAAGCGGCTCCTTTTCCTCACCGATGCTTTTCCTTCTGTGTTTTGAGTCGACGGCCAGCATAGCGATATAGCCACGATGGAACATCTTCTTGTGCATGTCCAGCTTACACACGATGGCGCCGACGCACTCCTGCTCCACCATGGCCTTCCAAAACACAATCACAGAGTCAACCCACGAGAGAAGAAGAAAGCGGGTCTGGCACGAAGCCAGGATCAAATCAGGTCAAATGTTGTCTTTTAGATCAAATAGAACAAGAACAAGCACAATAAGAACCGTTGACCATTCGTTTGAAGTACCTGTGGCATTACTTAATTAGTGTCCTCCGAAACTGTTGCATCTACTATGGATTACGAAGGCATTAGTCAGTGAGCTTGTGTTTGTTAACCAAAACACAGTTTTTGTATACCCATGGTTGAAATGGAAGCAGGAAAAGCTCACTCGCGCTCTCTCGCATACAGAGTGACGCATTCATGAACTGGGAAATCGGAACACTCACAGTAACAGAAGATGACATATTTGCCACAATCCCTCAATGGCAACATAGAACAATAAAACACATACGCCATTTTGATTACCCGGATCAATTTACGACCTATAAATTATAGATACTCGTGAAGGAAAAAAAATGTTTTGGATGACAATTAAATAAAAACAATACCAAATTAAAAATCAGTACAAGTGTTTATTTTTTTTTTCTTTCACACAATGCATTTTGCATTGTATTCAAGCTGTAAGGGAATAATGATTAGTATGAGAGGAGCTGCCTGCTGGTATGATATGACGCAATTTAAATCTGATCCGACGAGTCGACTAATTGCAACTACTTTTGGTGCTTAGTCGACAAGCAAAATAATCGTTTGTGGCACCTCTCACGGAACTGAGGTTCACTCCCGGCTTTGTATTGACTATTTAAATAAGTACAGTACATTACAACTTTACAAAACACCACATAGATGAAGTCAGATGATTCAAAGGGTCAAACTAGGTTCAATACACATAAAGCATCTCATGCAACTGACGCTCCAATTTAGAAAAACTTGTTGAAATAGGTCCCATGTGAACCACCGAGGATATTTTCTATAAAGTACAGCTGTTTTAATAGGCATGTCACGGAACTCAAGCATAATATGAGGTGTGGTGGGGGTTGGGGGTTTGACACTTACCAGGAAGCAGAGCTGCGGCCAGTTGTGGATGAAGTACCTGTACGTGTAAATGGAGTAAGGCTCAGACAAGTCCTTGGTGATGAGTCTCATGATGGATGGCATCTGCAGCTCGGACTCGTAGCGTACATAACAAATGTCGTGGCTGTCCTCCTGCGGCGAGGCGCCCAATTCCAGCCGGGCCAGCTCGTCCGAGGGCGGCTGGGGCTGCGGCTGCTGCAGCAGCTCCATGCTCCCGGAACTCTCGGAAGCGAGCGGCGCTGCCTGAGTTCTTGTTCGGGCCGGCATCCCGTTCATGCTATTGTTAACCAGAGGCGAGTGTCGGCCGTTTTTGGAGCGGGGGCCTTCGCGTTGGCAGTGTTCCATGTCGTTCGGTGCGGCCGTGGTCTCGTCGTCGTCGTCGCCGCTGTCACAGTCGTCCGCTGGCGGTCTCGGATTGTCAAGGTGTCCCCCTAGCTCCTCCACGGGACTACCGGCCAAGCCGTTGAGCTGCTGCTGCTGCTCCACGTCTGGCATTTTGAGGTGCAACGCCGGCGGGCTAGCTCTCGCTAGCATGTTTTTCTGCTTCTTCCTGACCGACTGCTTGACTTCGGCGAGCGGCTTCCCCAACCCGGGGTACTCACCGGGTCGACGCGGCCCTCTGTCCTCGCCCCCAGCCCCGGGGAAAGGCGGACTTTCAGTCGGGGATTCGGCCGGTGCGCTACTAGGCCCAGGCGGCACTGTGGCCATCCCACCGCATCAAGGTGGCGATTCGCGGTTGGGAAACGTCGGACACAAGCTCATTCACGACGCCCAGCGGGAATACGACAGCGCCGCGGGTGTGACTCCGCCGAATGCAGCGTAAATCCGCTGATTATTGAGGCGAAAAGGACTCGCGAAGCGGCGACGTTCTTCGCTTGCTTTCTCCTCGAGCTCTCCCTGCTGCCGCAAAGTGCTGTCGCAGCAAAGGCCATTGCAACACTGCCGCACGGTGGTGTTTTACGACAGTGCCGTAAAATCCCTTAGACAGCCACTTTGCCCCACAACATATATTTTAAAGCCGTGTGTTTTAGTTTTATTTATTATTTGTAAAGGACTAATACGGAGCTACTGAATATACCCGGGTTAACACACACACACACACACACACACACACACACACACACACACACACACACACACACACACACACACACGTTCCACCACACTGTAAATAAACATAATTTGTACATTTTGCGGCTAAAACAATAACTAATTTTGGGGAAAAAATGAATATAAATGGGGGACATTTATGGTCTCAATTACATTTACCAATAATTGTGTGATTCAAATGATATAAAACTATCAAGCACTTTGTGGAGATGGACAACTAAAGTGTTGTAATTTTCTTAACTTCCATCAGATGGTGCCAGATCATGTTTTATCGCCCCATTCTTTGTTTCACAACTTCTGTACCACAATTCCACAAAGATTGTTTTGTACTTTTTTAAGCCGAAACTTCAAAGAAGTGGCATGAGAACCTTACAAATTATGGTACGTCATTTCTTGGCTATAAATCGCCACAGTTTTTTCTCCTGTTACCAATACAGTAATATGTTTGGGAAACAATAATAATAATGTGTGTGACCCAAAGTGACAATGAGCAGTACAGAAGATGAATAATCATATCAATTTAAAAATAAGAAAAGGGGAAAATAATTCGTATTTAAATACATAATTTTTCCCCATTGTGGGACTAATGAAAGCCTACTGTGTTCTATTGGTGAGTCCTTCAATATAAAATTGATTCCACATTTTGTTTTTTGTTTTCAAATATGGTGTTCAAGTTCATTGACAGAAGAGATAAAGAGATGTAGATAAATATTTTTCTTGAACACACTCGAAAGAGGCATATAGAGCTTGATTTGTGCAATGCTGAGCATGCCTTTGAAAGCGCTCTCTAAGCCTCGAGGTGCTGAGAACTGGTGAAGCGCCGCAATGAGACATGTGCAATCAGTTCCCCCTCTTCAAATCTCCTTTCGGGGCCTATCTACTTGAACAGGCTTCTCTTAATGACTTCTCCATCACTTCGCGCCAGCTTTTTCCAGGGACTCTCACAAACACTTGGCTGCGTATAAATACGTTCACTATTCTATTCTGTCCCCATTGTAGGTTTTTTTTCCCCTGCAACCCTGCTTTCCAAATATCTCCGGGGTGTCAGTTGCGTCATGTGACTGGTGTGCTGGTGATTACAGTGCTCGCTTGGCACTCAAGTGATGCCATGAGCCAAAAATACCTTAAAAAAAACAAGTTGTGTAGGTCAAAACGTACCCAAATATCTGTCCCCCCCCCCCCTTCTCTCCATACTCTGTCCCAATGTCCTTCTCCTTGTCTCTTTCTGTCCAGCCTTGGCGTCTGGTTCACGAGAGTTGCATTTAATTAGTTTCTGTTGGCTTAATTAGGGACTGAGTGAGGGGGCGGGACCAGAACAAAAAGCGGGTTAGGTTGCATGGATGGAAGGATGCAGTTGCACTGTGGTGGTTGCCAGACGGCGCACAAGACTGAGTGAATTGGACGAGGCGACGCTGTCTTGATTTTGCATGCCGGGGCAAACTGGGCATTGCCCCTCCAGATCCAACATATGGCACTGTGGTAAAGAACTAAAATCTGTGTTTTGTCTTGTTGAAATAGTTCATTTAATCAGTGTAATGTCATGTATAAAAATTAAAATTGGAGAGGAAAAACTACCCCGTGCATTTTTGCCGAACCTCACTGTCCTCTCTCAGCTGTGTGAGATGACAGAACCCATCCAGAGTTGCCAAGGATACAGCATTGTGAGCCTGTTGTATCGTTTGTTGTTTTCTTGTGATCGAGTGAAGTGCTGATCTGTATAAGTTTTTTTTCTTCTCTCTTCATTTGCCTTTGACCCCAGGTGGGACAATAGAGGACATTGAAAAAAAAAAAGCCATCTAAGCAGGTGAAGTGTATCGCCTGGGCTAGAGCGCGGGGATGACATCACAGGGATCAGTGGTTGGGCGAGAGGGATGACGAGCCTGGATTTGACCTTTTCTGTGAAGAGAACGGTGCCATCTCTGGCATGGCTACAAGGCCCACTGAGTGAGTGACGGAGTCCTGGGGCTCTTTAGACATGGCACCACCGCAGCGGGGGGGGGAGCCCAGACAATCACCCGGCTTCAGATCCAAAATGGAGGGGTGAAGGACAGAAGGGCTTAAGGTGAAGGACGGAGAAGACTGAGAGCTCAGGGGTCCAGGTGGGAACGGGAAGCTGTGAGGAGGGGAAGAAAAGAAGCGGAGGAGAAGAGGAAGAAAGGGGGAACCACGGAGAGATGGCATGCATTCTCCCTCGTATCCCTCCTCCTCTGTTATGGCGTTTTATCGCCATCACGGATCATGCCGTATGAACAGCGATCCAAGTCAGCCATCTGCTGAGGCTTGATAAGCCTGGGAGAGGCAGCCATTGAGCTGTCACTCATTGAAAGAGAGACAGACGAAAGGAGGGAGAAAACGGGAGCGGAAAGGAAGGCAAAAAGATCGGCGAGGCATCTGTCTAGTGCGGGAAAAGACTTAACGTCAACGAGACGTCCGGCCTCCCAGTAATCCCACTTCTCTAATGAGAAGTTGTTTAGTGGCTGATTGAGGCTTTTTGTCGCTTTCTTTTTGCTTATCGTGCCATGCAGATGTTTTCCTTAAATGTCATCAGGAGCATTCAGTGTGATTAAGCCATTTCCCAAATACTGGACATGAAGGAACAATTTTTAAACGAGGTGGGAGTCCCTGGGCGGGGTGTTGCATTATCATTGCGGATGAGACACCCCGGGATCCCCAAATTGAGAATTTCTTCTCAATTAAGATAGCATGCAGTTGGTCAAGTTACATCCCACTAAAACATATATGGTGCTAAAACCACTTAGCTCATAACTATGTGGTTAGCGTCCGCTGCAGAGTTCAATTCAAGTGTAAAAGGAAGTTAAGCACTGTATTGCAGAGCTGCCAATTGCAGGGACCCACAGACCCACAATAGAGTAATACTCCAATATTTTCATAACAGCAAAAATAAACTATCCTACTAAGCAATATGGAACTGAAGAATTGGTCTTCATTCAAAAAAAAAGGAGGCGATGGCTCAGATTGATGATCATTTGCAGTATTCACCACTTATGGTCTTGTTTTTTTTTTTTTTTACAAAAAAATGGAGGCGATGGCTCAGATTGATGATCATTTGCAGGATTCACCACTTATGGTCTTGTTTTTTTTTTTTTCTCACTTTCTCATCCTCATGCATTTCCAGTCAGAACGTCCTTATTTTTAGTCTTAAAAGCAACATTTGCACACCCTTCAGGAGGTAATACTGTGGCAGTAGTGCGGGGGCATGAATTGAGGCCGGGAGGGGGGTCAGGCCTGGGAGTGAGGGGGGTTAGCAGGGGATTAGCCGAGGCCAGTTGGATCATTTTACAGCCGCAGGACCCCCTCTCACCCTCGGCAGTCTCCCGGACAATGAGGATTAAACTCCTCTTGTTCCTCAACTCGGAAAAAACGGCAGGGCAACAAAGGCGCTATTCCTCCTGGGTGCCTGGCTGGTAGCTGGGTAGCTGAGTCGAAGAGGGAGGCGAAGGGAGGGAGGCGAGGAGAAGGTAGGGGGTCCATCATAAAATTAATCCCTTCACAGTTTGCTCTGGTGCAAAGTGAGATATGAGGCAGACATGCCTAATGAAACTGTGCAGTCATCGAAGGGCAGAGCGATAAAAGCACGCATCAAACTCGTCATTAGCGTCGCCGCTAAAAGCCCGTCGAGAGGTTGGCGCTCTCCCTGCGTGACTGGCACCGCAGATTAATCACTCCGTGCAAAAAGATACTCCACCTACCACGCGTTTTCTCTTGTATAAAAACATCCCGCACCAACTGATTATTTGTTATTCAACTTCGATTAAAAGACATTTCGAATCACACCAAAACGACAAAGAGCACTTGACAATTCGGAGGAGGAAATAAACAGTTATTTTAGTTTAAGTCATGCAGCACAACATAAGCCACAAGAAGGTGAATGGAGAGGTGGGGTCCTTCATATTAAAAAAGGGTTTTTGTTGTTGTTTTTTTACTTTAAAAAAAAAAACTAAACAAAACGAAAAGAAAAGCTTCTTCGCGCTGTCAAAGCCAATCAACGTCTGTGCTGGCAGCGCCGCCTGTCTCCCAGGCAGCCTGCCACAAAGGAAGCCCGACACACCTCTCACTTCCAATCTATGTACTCCACTGCGGGCCTCCGATTCAAACTCCCACTATATTGTCACCATTCATATCGTCCAGTAAAAAGCCGCAATCAGTTTTATCGACAAAAGCATCCGATGGTTATTCATTCATTGGGCCGGGAGATTTCTCGACTCCAAGCCAAATATAAACATGGCGATTACAACACCAACAATCGCCTTGTGCGCTAATAAACGTGAGGGACAAGACTTGATCCTTGCAAACCTCAAATACAAAAAAAAAAAAAAATCTTGAATAGAACACCCCCCCCATTCCAAATCGCATTGTCGCGCAAAGCCGGTGATAAAAGGCCTAAGAGTAACTCTGCGTTTAGACTCTTGAAGACTTTGGTTAAGCCAGTGCCTCTGCTACTTTTCAGCCTCGGTATAAATCTGTCTCTCAATGGCGATTGGCTCAAGGCGAGGGGGCCATCTTTTTCTCAAGAACCCCCCCGCCCCCCATCCCGCCGCTGACGCCACTTGCATAGAGTGTAGCCGTCACCAGACAATGCCTGGTAACTGGCAATTAAACAGCATTTTCCGAGGAATCCGTGGCACTGGTCTAATGGCATTACCATTGGATGATTCAATCCCTGAATAGTCAACAGGATTTTGCTTCTCTGCAGGAAAATACTGCTTCATCGAATTACCCGTATTACATCGATTTAGCCAAAGATTATGATTCAGGGTTCAGCGATGACGGCGTCCCTAAAACGCTGATCGGCCACAAGAGAGGAAATTTAAAAGTGAGCTTAATTAAGCGT